GAGGCTGGGAGTCTGGTCTGGGAGAAAGAAGCTAAGAGGGAGGGATGAGAGAGGAGAATATCAAGGGAGTAATGAGGAGAGATTAAGAAACAATTCTTCATTTTCTTAGTAAACTAACTGAAAACTCTTGTAGAAGAAAGAGGGAGGGAATTAGGCATACAAAAGATATGTGGTGGATTAACAGATCTCTTGCCATGCTCATGGATGCACATGGATGCTGAGAATTTGCATGGCTACCCAGATGTCCAGGCCCTGGGGGCACCACCAGCATTCAGGGCCCCATGGCAGCCCCCTGGGGCTCCCCCTGCCCCTGTCCCATGACCCCATTTCAGTCACCCATGGCTCCAGTCCCTGCCCAGAGATGCCATAATCGAAGTCTGGTTTTAGGCTCTCGCATACTGAGGCACAGTGAGAAAATATTAGTGAACTAAAGTCATAGAGTCTTGCTGGATAAATTGGGAGAGGAAGGCTTAGATTCACTGAAAACAAGGAGCATATATCTCCAAAGCACCAGGGATAGCAAATATAGAGAAATAATTTATTTCATTCTAGGAGAGAATCTGAACTTGCTTCCATCACCTCTAATGAATATGTCCCAATAGCCCTACTGGTAGACAATATTTTTCATGTGTTTTCTTCTGTTCCTGCAAGAAAAATGAGCAATTTCCTTGACATGGATTGAACTGTTTGGGGTTATGTTTGTTTGTTTCCTAGTCTAAGAAATAATAAATCAAATTATAGCTTGGAAAAGATAAAAAGCTACCTCTTAACTTTTGCTCCATAAGGAAAAGGTTTTGTTTAGGGTTGTTTGTCTGACTGAAAAAATGACTGGGAGCTGTGGACAAAACCAGCCCCTTCTAGTGGACAAAGAGACTGAGCTGGTACTTCCAGAACCTGAGCAGTGCTCCATCCTTTCTATGGGACAAGTTGAATGCAAATAATCCCAGTGAAGCTGGAACATGCTCACACCTTGTGCTCACCATTGTGATTATCTGAGGAGCAGAAATGCACTGGTCACCTATTCTGAACTGATAGGTATCAATGGAGTTATTTCAGAAGGGATGTCCATAGTCCTCATTGAAAAGACTTGGAAAAGCAGAGGTTCTGCCTACCAATTTGTAGGAAAAATTATATATAAAGAGTTGGAAGGAACAAAGAGTTTGTCAGTCTCAGTCACCATGCTCAGCCAGAGGGTGAAAAAGCTGAATAAAGTGTAGGGTGATGCCCCTTCAGAGAGGCATGGGGAGAGAAAAGCAGCTGCTGGGAGATTTGCCCCATTCATAAATTCCCAGAAATACCAACAGTTCCTGGTTTTGGTACTATTTAATCAGAGAAAAAAAAAATATGCAACTCCCTTTCCTCAAAATAAGGTAACAAAAAGTGCAGTCTCAATGACAATGAGACAACCCTATACTTGTCCTATTCATAACATCTTTCCAAGGTCTGTATGAACCTCTGTGATTCAGAGTCAGTGCTTTCATGAGACAAAGAGCTGCTACTGCTGCATTTTACAAACCACAGAAAGAAAAGCTCCAGGGATTTCAAAAGCCGTAGACTCGGCAGAGACTCCACAGTTTAATCTGTGAAGTGAGACAGCTGACAGATTACAAACTCAATTTTACTTCACAGTCACTAAAGCCATGAATCTAGTGCTGTGTCACTTGAATCAGTGATGATTAATGAGTTTCAAGACCTTTAAAAGTGCAAAGGGAAGTAATTCAGAAAGGAAAGGCTTCACCTGGCACAGAAGACACAAGACCTTGTTGCAGGATGACATGAGCCAGGTATTCTCCAGCACTGAGGCAGGGATGGAGTAAGGGTTACTGTGTTAAATGATACAAGAATTTGAAACATTCCTCTTCCCAGCAATAGTTCACTGCTGTCATTTTAAAGGAAAGCTGACTCCCCTAGGTATCCTTGAGAGCAGTTTTGCATCAAATGTTGCCTGGTGCGTGAAAGTGAGTATCCCTTGGAGCAGTGAGCTGAGCAATGTGTCAAGGAAGGACAAATAATTGCTCAATATACATGGAAATAACTCCTGGGAATTTTTATCCAAAGCCAGCAGGATTCAGGCTGGAACTGCAGAGCAAGGCAGTTTCCATTTTGACAAATACAGTTTTAAGCAAGAAATAGTGGATTCAAGAGCATCAAGTCTCAGACCCATGATTCATGGAAATAACTCCTGGGAATTTTTATCCAAAGCCAGCAGGATTCAGGCTGGAACTGCAGAGCAAGGCAGTCTCCATTTTGACAAATACAGTGCATGTTTTAAGCAAGAAAAAGTGGATTCAGGAGCATCAAGTCTCAGACCCATGATCCTCAAGAACATGAGTCTGATGGGAATTGAGCATATCCCATTTTAGGTGTAAAAGTACTCTCTTTTTCACCACTAACCTACTATTTTTCAGCCAGTCTGTCCCATTTGGTTAAGCTACTAAAGTAAAATTTATTTCCTTCTTAGTCATCTTCAAAAGAATTTATGTCAGTGGACAGGCAAGAGGACATTGAATAGGCTCCAAAACTGTATGTTACATTTACTAGATTTGCATGTCTGTTGCTTCCAGTTAAGAGAAAATATAAAACAAGAAATGTACAGGACAACTGTGGACCTTTTCACAACTGCAGAAAGAGCTGTGTCCTGGGATGTGGCCGATCCCCCTTAGCAACTGCAGAGATTTATTGCACCAAGATTTCAATGAAACAAAAGATTGATGTCTTGCTTAAATCTGTGGTTTTCTTTTGTTGAGGTGTTTTTAGTTCCACAGTTTCCATAAGCAGCTCTCTATCCATCAGAAGAAACATTTTGTAAAGCAATTTGCTGTCACTGGCCCTGCTCTTTGAGCTGCTCCTTATGGGCAGGGACTCCCAGAGAGGGAATGGAAAGGGAATGACTGTCCTTGCACACCTCCCCAGGCCAACAGCTACCCAAGGCACTGACAGACCCTGCTGGGCTTCTGACCACACTGGGACCTCCACACTCACTTCCAGGAAAGGGTTCCTGCTGTGTACAAACACACAACAGCACCAGAACATTGCAGGTGCCTTTTGCTTCCCTGGCAGGAGAAAGAGTTTAAAAAACAAAAAAAAACCAAAACAAAACAAAAAAAAAAACAACAAAACAAAAAACCAAAAAAAAACCCCACCAAAATCCCCCCAAAAACCCCAAAACCAAGCTGAAGACAGCGACCATCTAAAATTACATCTCCTGCTTTGTGGAATCTCTATCTCCTTTTCACTAAGCCTCAAGTGAGCAAAGAAGGAATATCAAAAGTCCAGCTCTACATTAAAACATCAACAAAAGGCAAGATTTGTACAGTATTTGCATTTTAGCCTCATATTTACTATAGTTTTATTTGAAGGAAATATTCTGTTCACTACCTGCCTGCAGGTGGGATTGAAAGAAATTAAGAGTTCAAAATTCCATTGTATCAGTCAAGCCACAAAACTAGGCTTATTATTTAAAAACAGAATGAAAACAAATTAACAAGCAAAACAGTAAGAAATATTTATTTTCTGAGAAAATATCCTACAAAATTGTGTGGCTTAACTACCATTAAACTGTTCACATAAAAATAGAAAATAATGTGATTAAATATATTCTTGACAATCATTTAAGTCCTGCTTTACATATTGAATGGTTTCAAATATAGAAAAAATCCAAACCTCACCTATAAAGAGCTTATTCAGTCTGCATCTTGTATTTTTAGTTTGTAACTGGATAAGTGTTGATGCATAAAGCTGTAATTCACCAGTGTTGACCATGATTTTTATGAAAATAAATAAGTAAACAGACTGAGATGATACAAGCTGAGCATGTAGAATTCATCCTAATTCCACTTGGGCAGAGAAATTCAAGTAAACAGAGTCATACCATGAAATTTTCATAAGAAAAGCAATCTAGAAGCAGCACCCTCACCTGGTTCTCAGAGCAATTTTCTCCTGGTATTATAATTACTCCTATGAATCCATTGGCTGAAGTTACAAAATAAGATGCCTAAAGGTAAAAGTAAAATTAGTACGTACAAAAATGTTTCTTCATCATCTAGAATATAATGAGATGGATCTCCAGCTTTCCACTGTGTCACCAAAGCACACTTTAATGTCCCAGTTAAGCACTAGGTTCACTGTCCATTCCTTGCCTGTTCAATGCAGATTCAGCTTAACTAAGACAGTGATTTTAGAACATACCTTTCCCATCCCAGACACCTGCTTTTATTTAACCTCTGTGAAGACAGATGTCTGCTTTTCTTCCTGGGCATGAGGGAAACCATATAGAAGGCCATCTTAAACCAGCCAGTTGATTTTTACATGGCTCAAACATGTGTGATAAATTGGGTCAGATAAGTGACACATTCCCAAGTGCCTCTATCACCAGAGGAGGTAGAGACCTAACTGTGTTTGTCATTTTGTCCCATTAGGGTACTATTTAGTGTCCCACAAACCCAAGAGAGCTGTGTTTGGTCAGCACAAAGGAATCAAACCATCACACTGGGTACCTATAGCCAGCAGTCATTTGTGCAGACAAGGATTTGAATTGTGATTTACATCAAATACCAGCATGCAGGTAGCACGTGACCTCTCCTCTCTAACCTTCCCCTTGCACAAGGCAGGCTGGCACTGCTCACACTGGCACATAAGTGAACACCAAAATCAGCTTTCATGTATTTGAAGGTTCCAGCCTCTCCACTCCTGAGCTGAGGGCTCTGTATCTCCCACTGCTGGTGTTAGTGATGTCAGCAGTTTTTGCACTCCCAGCCCACTCTTATGGAGTCTCCGCAGCGAGGTGAAAAAGGATCTCCAGAAGCACCGAAGTGTGTGGCTGCCCCTTTGGCTCAGGGGTGCATGGAAGCCCCTGGGGGTGCTGGGTATGCTGCTGCTCCAGGTGACGCAGAGGCACTTTGGTTTAGAGCTCTAAAGGAAACAGGGCAATGGGAAGAAGAGCTGGACTCTCAACATTCTTGCTCCCACATCCATCAGGCAGCTGATATCCCCAGGGGAGCACCCAAGGGAGCAGTTCAGTTTGAACTGCAGTTCAGTTTGTGGCAGCAGGACCCATTTCTGAAAGGGAAAGAAAAATGCCCAGTGTTAATATTTAGCTGGAAATAATTTTTATTTATAATAATGACATAATGTTTTTATAACCTCAGTGGAATAAGAACTACATGTCATACACTGATCCCACTGCTCAGCAACTGAGCAGGGGCAGTAATTGCCCACAGTTTTTAAATTTGGAATGGACTTTGATTTCATTGTTTGTTTTATGACCACACATTAGATGCATTATTATTACCACTCCCATGGAAAATGCTATGAAGGTAGCAACTCTCTCAGAAAAGAAAATATTATCTCACTCTTAATATTTTCTTGGGTGGAGAAGGGGTGTAGAAGCTGTTGTTTTTCTGATGCATGCTGAAAAATCCTTTTGAAATACCACCTAATTTTCAGAGCAGAAAAGAGGAGCACTCAATGCCTGCTACTGATAGCCTGTTAGCCTGTGTCCTTGAAAATTAACATGCTACAAGGAGAAAATGGCTAGTTCTGAAGTGTAGCTCCTCTATGTCTCAAAGTATCAGGAGTAATTTTCTTTAATGGATGATTAAAAACTTTTGCCCCACTATTATGGCACTGTATGGAGCTGCCATCAGCAGTGACCTATTTGCTGTCAGGGCAGAAATACTTGCTTCAGACACTGGCCTAAATGCAAATGATTGTTAGTTGGTGCTCATCTGTTGGCAGTGTGATACCCTTAGAAAATAAATAACTTCTGCCAGCGGGCCTTCCTTGCTTGGCAGCTGGGCTCACTTGGGTTCCCTCCCCTTCCTCGTGGTGCTGCGGGCACAGCCCTCACAGAGGACAGGCACGTGAGCACTGCTTACAGAGAAAGCTCTCTGCAGCTCTCCTGGTGTGCCTAATGCTCACATGAAATGCTGTTACTGCTGGACTGGGATATGTGTTTTCTTTGTAAGGGGCTGTCAACCACAAGACCTCGGAAACTGTGCCAGAGAATGGGGAGATCTACTTTAAAATGTCACGCAAATTTTCTGTGCTTTCAAGGGGGCTCTCACATCACATTTCCAAGCTTCACCATTCAGCCATGCAGGATTGTTTTTTTCCAAATGGATTTGGTGGGAGTGATGGCATTGAGGACTGAGTGAGTTGGTCAGCCCTGTGCTTCTTTGACCCAGGCTTTACTGGAGACCAAAAACTGCCATAAATTATCATTGCAAACACTGGCAACACTAGGGATGAAAAAAGTCAACAAACCTTGCTGTGTTATTAAAGGCACCATTCTGAACATGAAAAGGCTCAAATGTGGAGAAGGAAATGTTTCAGCTCATCTGGGAGGAGAAGTCCAGTTATTTTTTGATGCTGCTTGTGTCCAAAGCACCTCCTGATGCACAGGCGGCACAGCTGCATCAAGGACAGTGGCCCTGAGAAAGATCCAGGGAACAGGTTACACATGTGGCTTTACAACGTCAAGACTATAAACCTGAAACAGCAGCTGTGCAACCCACCTCCTGCAACCCACCTCTCACCAGGTTTTCACTTTCAGCAGTGAAGTCAAACCTGCATCCCCCAAAAGACATCTGCCCACCTGCAATCCAGTCCATGCCTAGTCACTCTGTCAGTACTCAACTGGCATCAGCAGCATCAGTCTTTCCCTTTTAAGCTGTACAAATGTTTGTAGTGTCTGATAAGAGATGAGTGGTGCTACTTTAAAAGCCCTTCCCTCCTCTCACTCCCCCAGTGAGATCAAAGTTTTCAGTCCACTACTTTCTTGAGGTGTATTTCATAACAGTGATAATGAACACATAGCAAAAGGAGCACTTTGTAGTTCTTTATTTAAACCTTCCAGGTGAACCAGTCCCATATTGATAGAAGGGAGCCCTGTTGAAGAATCTTTGTCACTTTATAAAAACATCTAAGTGAAAATCCTTTTTGGGAAGAGGAAGTTCCTATGTGAAGTTCTACCTGCAGCAGCCATCAGTGTTCAGCCCTGCAGAGCATGGTTTGCACGGGGCTGATGAGTGTGTAGGGTGGCAGGGGCTGGGGAGGGCAGGTGAGAAGATGGCCACCAACGAGGGGGCTGGATGCAGGGAATGGGGAGGACATGAGAAGGGACACTGCAGAAAGCAAGAGGCAGGTGAGTGAGCTGGAAGGGACAGTTTAGATGCCCTCCCTCCTGCAGAGCAGAGGGAAGGGAGGGAGGCCACAACAAAAATAAGGTGAGGTGGCAGCTTTGATTAGCCTTTGAGACTTCCTTCATGCAGGACACCACATTTCCAGCAGCTTTGCAGGGCTGAAAGCTGCTGTGCTATCACAAGGACTGTGCAAAGGGCTGCACTTTTCTGTAGGAGCCAGCCTTTGAGTTGTCACCCTGTTTGTGGGTACAAAACAAGGCAAGCTAGCTAAACTACTGCAATATCACACTGTGCTCGTGCTTGACTCCGATCCCACAGATAAAGGCTCTGCCTGCAAACATCTCATTAAAAAAAACAAAAGCTTCCATTAAAAGAAAAAACAACCAAACCCAAAACATGAAGACTTATCAAAACACAAGCAGTGACACTACACTGGAAAATATTTTGCAAACACAAGCACACAGTACATTTTTGGAGCACTCACTAATTTTCCCACCCACACGCAGGACTGTCCCTGAGATGTAAGCAGGTATGATGGTCCAGCAGCACAGTGAACTGCTAGGAAGGGAACCACCACATGTGCTGCACCTGCCCTGGGCTGGTCCTGGGAGGGGACTGGGTCAGCACACTCACCAGCTCATCTCTGGTGGCCAAACGCCAAATACGCTCCCTGCAGCCTGCCTGGCCATGGACTGCGGGGCTGCAGCCTTGCATGGCAGCAGAGCAGCTCTTGCACCACTCTCCTAGATCACAGCTGCTCAGGCAGCCAAAGAAGTCAAAGACATCAGCTGTCCACAGGCATGACCCCACTCAGAGAAGGGCGTGTTGGAGAACATCAGAAAAACCACTATTCCACAGGAAAATTCCCTTCAGGCATTTATTGTTTCTGGTTTTGATTGCTGAATTTCACTTAGAAAAGTTCCTCGCTGCCCATGCTGTCAGCTCAGCCTGAGCAGTGTTTCCAGGCCAGCACCACAGGGCATGCCTGAAATGTTTTTCTATCTCAAATAAACAGGACACATGCAGTGCCACAGGAGTCAGGAATTGAATGCAGCAGGGACTGGAACTCCAAGAGATCACTGCTCCGTGTGCTGTAGATTAGGTTGGGAAACCAAATATCCTTTGCTCATGCATAACATCCACAGAACAGTTGTTTCCATGCTACTTTCATGTTACTTTTTCAAGCAGGGCCTGATCACTTTGTTATTCCAATTATACCTTTCTATGGCAAGAATCTCATCAATGTGTAACTGTTTTAAACAAATTACCAGTTTGTTTAAAATAGTTAAAATCCAGATTATTTAGTAATGTATATAGCTTGCTGACTGAGAAAATCTAAGAAAGAACACAAATATAAAAATGAGTAGACACTATGGATCTTATTCTAATTTCCCTCAATAATAAGTAACATTTCTCTCCATAATTCATTACAGATTTCATAATAAAATAAAAATAAAATAAAATAAATTTAAAATTTATTTTAAATTTATTTTATTGATTTAAATCAATAAAATAAAATAAAATTACCTGAAACTATTTAACTTAAAAATATGAAATAGACTCTTACTAAAGTTTAAGCTTATGGCTTGATACTGCTGTTATTATTCAACACATAAGGTTGGTCTTTACAGAAAGTCTAGTGTATAAATGAACATAAATACATAATTCCTTATATCATTCCTGTGCAATGTTCCTTAATATAAAAAAAATCATGTAGTCTTTAATTTTAAAGTTACGTTTGCATCTGTGTAAAAGCTTGACCCAAGAATAAAAGTAAAGGACAAAGAATTGAAAACCAAGTTCTTCGATATACCTTTTTTAGTATTACATGCATTAAATTTTTTTGGGTTGCAAATCTGCATTTATGAATTTGTGCTGAGACAAACCTGACCATCTACTGTACATGCAGAGATCTCAAATCTCATCCTCACTGCCTAGCCTCAATTCCCATCAGAAGTGATTTGCTGCCTGCATTTGTCAGCACACTCCATGGAACACTCCTGGGTCTACTACTGTCTGACACAAGGGAACTGACAGATTCTCACTGAATTCGAAGTTTGAGGTAATGAAAAAAGTTAATTTATTTCTAAGGGGTCTCTGCTTGTTTATTCGCTCTAAACTCTATTTTGCATTAAATGGCAAGCTCAAGATGATTGCATCCTGATGCAGTAGATTAAAAATCTGGAGGTTCAGGATGGGTTATTTTTCTTATCATTATCACTGTTAGTTCACCACTATATTCTGGCACTTGAACAATGTCCCTATGTCAGCAAATGGAGGCAAGCTCAGTTATTCCCAATTTCTAGTGCTAGCAGCCTGGAATAGCATAGCCTTGTACAATAGTCTGTGTGGGCTTTCCCTAAAACAAGTTCTAAGGGGCACCTTCTCTCTGCAGGAACAGCTGGCCCAGAGGGCAGCCAGGTGGGACCAGCTCCACTGGCCTCTTGTTTTCAGCATTCTTCACCCACACGTCTGCTCCAAAGTCCATCAGCAGCTTCACCAGCTCCACGCTGCAATTCCTGGCAGCCGTGTGCAGAGGGGACTCCAGGCCCTTGCCGCTGTTCACGTTTGCTCCTGAACAACAGGAGGGGCAAACAACAATGAGAAGAGCCATGACTGCACAGCAGCCCATCTTCATTCACTGCACTAGCTGCTCTTTCTCTGAATAACACACAAGTGCTGAAGCCTGCACCCAGAGCTGGACTCCCTCACGCTGGGGCTTGGTGCCACAATCTGCACAAGCACAACTCTCACTGGCTGAGGAGTGGGGTTGTGACAAAGAAAACAATCCCAGAGGAATGGTGCATGAGGAAGTCCTTCACCCTTCACCTTCAGCCCAGCCCAAGGGTATCTTGAAGCAAGACAAAGGTGTAGCTCCCACCTGTGGCCCACCTCTGCTTCCCATCCCTTAAAATAAAGGCAGGATTTCAATGTGCTCTGTACTGGAAACTTAAGCTGGTGGGATTGCCAAATGCCAAAGTATCTGTTAGGGAAAAAATGCGAGGATGGAAAAGTTCTAGAGGTCCTTCATAGAAGAGGGCATAAGCATCCCTGATGAGAGTTCCCCCATTCATTACCCTGGATTAATGGCTCCTAAAACACCCTAAGAAAGGTGAGCTGCAGAACTAATTCAAAACTATAATGGTTTTATAGTACACATTCCCATATACAGAGGGCAGCAGAAAAAAATTAGCAGAAAAAAGAAAATAGTTGCCAAACATTTAATTCAGATTAAATTAAAAAGATTTAGATTAATTTGTATTTGACTTCTTCCCAAAAAAGGTCATTGTACTAAACAGTGACCTACCAAAACGTGATATAGATGATTTTTGCTTGTCTTTTCTAAAGTAGCTTTGTTGGTGCATCATTTTTGTACCAGTTATGTGGCTACTTTAGGTATATGGCCCCTTTGGCTAGAAGACCTGTACTACTGTGGATAACAAGAAGTGGTTTTGTGTAATTATCCAAGCATTTAGATTTACACCTTTGTGTGATGCAAAGGATACAGTGCTGAACCTTCTTCTGTGTTGGAAATGTCTCCAACTTTTCATGAACTCATTGGAAATCAAAACTATGCAAAAGTGGCTGAATCAATTGTTTTGGGTAAAGAGGAGGTAAAAAAAAATTAAAAATTAAATTTCTTCCTGTTCACTTCAAATAACTGCAGCATCACATGCACAGACATTGGAAAAATTAGCTTGTTCCAGGCACAATCAGCCATGTGAAATCCAGGATCACCCATTATTTTGTTGGGAGCTATTAAACTGAATTCCTGATCATCCTGCTACCACATTTAATCAGAGCTGCTATTAGGAGTGAAGCATCTCCTGGTCCCAAAGCAGGAGCTCCTCTAAATCTTTGATGCAAAGATAACCCAAAGACAGATGTTTCAGGAAACGAAAGTACACCATTCTTTACTTCTGTTTTTACCTGACTCAAGCAGCTTCTTGGCACAGTTCAGTTGCTGGTTCTCACATGCTACATAAAGCGGAGTACCCAGGTGCTTGATGTTGTGATCTATATTTACCCCACGGGATGCAAGGAGTTCGACACATTGCACATGACCTTAAAAGGGATAAAGGAAGAGTCAAATCACAGAGATCAGGCTTTTTTTTTTCAGCAAATTCTCTGTTGCAGCAGTGTAGTTTGGCAAAGATTCAATGTTTTGTCAAGAGGTGGTAGTGTAATACTTTCATCCACTCCAATGGATCCAGGAAACAAAAGAGGAGCTGAAAAGCCACGTTCAGCAAAACAGGCTAAAGCCTCACAGGCTAAAGCCCTCACATTTTATCTGACTCATTTGAGATGTCTACTGCAGATGAGATGAATCACTCCATGTTTCTCTCCAGTCCTTTTGAAGACAGCCAGACGTCTCCCTCAAATGTCCACATTGTAGGCAGCTGGCCTGGACACTGCATTCCCTTCCAGGTGCACTCAGAGGATCTGACAGCTGAGCTGACCTGCCCTGAGGAGCAGCAGGGCTGGGAAGAACTGCACCCCTCATGATGAGACCAATTAGCAAGGCATTTTACATGACCCAAACCACAAAAATTATCTTCTTTATCTCTCCCCTCCACTTCCACACGCTGCTAGCAGCATGGAAAGGAGAGCTGATGCCTGTGGGGTTACCTCTCTTTGCTGCTTCATGGATGGGGGATGCCAGGTCACAGGGTGGCTGTAGGCTGGCTCCATGCTCCAGCAGTAAATTCAAGCAAGCCACACTGCCACTGACACAAGTGTTGAACAGTGGGGTGTGCCAGTCAACAGTCACTCCATTCACCTGGGGGAAAATAACACAAAAATCCAGCAAGACTTTTTTCTTCTTGGTATTTCAAAATTGATGACAACTAACCAGTTTCTCAGCAGAAAATAGGGTTTTCGATATTTTTTATTTAATTCCATGCCAAAACACCTCAGTGCTTCTGAAGACTATAACTTTTCATTAAAATGATCATTTAAAAAGTATTTTTTTTAATTGCCCCCAAGATTCTCCTAAAAAAAGAAAAAAAATCATCAGGGCTACTCCAGGGTCTCTGAGTCTCTCAGGAGTTACCAAGCTAAATGTAAGACCACGATCACTTCTCAGTCATCTTAGCTGAAACACATCAATCTATAGCCCCCTCCTGAAACAGTTCATTTTTGGCTTAAAGTGTGCAATCCTTCCTTATTTTCTAATTTTTTTTCTTACGTTTTAAACTAAAAGGTAATATCTGGTAAGGTAACATATGTATGAATGAATTTTCTTATTCACTATAATATTGAAGTTAGCTTGAAAAGTAGTGGCCATGACACACCATTTCACCATTTTACTTGCATCTTGTTTCCATTTTCTTCCCATTTTTTGTCAGCTGAACCTAACATTCCTATGCCTCTACTTAAGACTCTGCGTATTGATAGTGATAAGATTAATGTGTGCATAAAACAAAACACACCCTTAACTGCTGCAGGATTATAAACACTTTGCAAGATGAACTTCCCCTTGTTCTTGTGAAAGATGAGAACATTTCACATCCTCATCTAAAGAACAATAATAACTGCTGCTTATATCTGTGCTTTTTGGATTGCTTTATTAGGAAGTGCCTTTCATAAGTACTTTAAGCTGAGCTAAGTACAGAGTGTAAATCACAGAGATACTCTGCTATGACACCATGTGGCATTAAAGTGTGGTAGTACAGCATACTAACACTAGAGACAGTGGTCTGGTCCATACTAACCCTAGAGACAGTGGTCTGGTCTGCCCATCACCTACTCACCTGAGCACCATGTTTTAACAGGACACTGGCACAGGCAGCATGACCCCCCAGGCAGGCTTCATGGAGAGGAGACACCTGGTCTGCTGTAACAAGATTGACATCATTCCCCTGATAAGATAATGGAAAATATCATTACAACCAACTACTAAAACCCCCATACAAAAATCCACAATTAAAAAAACCCCAAAACCTTCTTTAAAAGTCTTATTTAACTAGACTTTCCTCAACTGCCTGCAGCTATTTATCTCAGAAAGTAAGCAGGTGAAGGGGATGAAGAGGCTGTGATGTTTGGCTGGAGTGGATACTGGCACAGCATACCTCAGGCCCTGCCTTGTACACACTGAAAACCAGCACAAAAGCTTAGTGGACTGTCCAGTGGTTGTGTATATTGTGGTTGTTTGACTGGCTTGAACCCTGAAATGCTCTTGAAGTATTTTCTGCTCTTTGCCTCGAGGCAACCACTGAAGGAAAGAAATGCATCAGAAACATTGGTTGGATTCCACAAGATCTTTTGTTTCTAACAGCCTTGGTGCTCCAGAAGACTAAGCTGGAAGAGTCTCCAATGCCCCTTCCCTTTCTATTATCTCCTTCACAGGTATTTTAAAGAAACAAAGTGGTGAGGTTCACAAATCACTTCTACCTATCCCTGACCTTCTGGAGAGACCAGGCCCTGAGATATGCTCAGGCACTTCAGAAACAATGTCTGGATGACTGAATTGAAGCATCAACCAGACCCATGACTGGGTCCAGAGCTGGCCCCTCAGCTGGGGCACCAGAAACAGCTCACAGGCACACACAGGAGGTGCAGAGGAGCTGCCCTCGGCCATCCAGAGATCCCAGTGAGCCCATTACCTCTGCCACAGTTAATACATCACCCAGGATAGTTCAGTACATCATTAAATTCGTGCACAACATGAACCCAGGGGAGAGGTACCTGTTCAATGAGCTTCTTCAGAGAAAGCAGACGCCCATGGATAGAGGCCTCATGTAAAGGAGACCAGTCTGAAATAAAGTCTGTACAAAAACAAAGACAGGAAAAAGGCTAAAAACTCTATTTTGCTAGCGTACTTTACTTCAACTGTGCGACCTCCCTTCTACTTTATTTGAGCTGCCAAGATTTCTTTGGAGCAGATAATGTGAGGGAGACAGTATCTCCTCTGGTGCATTTTTAACTCATCCCATGCTTGCACTGCACGGCTGTGCTCCCCTCCAGAAGACAGGAGAGGGATTTGCAGAATGTCACCTCGCTCTGGCTGAGCTTGTCCCTCTCTCTGAATTATTTCCAGGGCCTTTTTTTTTCACAAACTTATTACATTTTACCAATTATCTCTAAAGGAATATGTTTTGAAGAGGGTTCAGCTGATCAGTCATTTACCCCTGCTCAGAGCTGGACTAGAGTCAACAACACTTGGCAAGAGAAGGGACCAAAGTACAAGGAGGCAAATTGTGCTACCTGTTGATTCTGACATTCAGTTTTCAGTGTTTGCCATGAGCGGTGCATTTTAAATAATAGCTGTGTCCTCTGCATTGCTGAAACCACAAAGTGAGGTACAGCATGTATATACCATGCAAATATTAATAGAGGGAGATCTTCAGTATTACAGATGTTATGGCTCAGAGCCAACTGACAGCAATAATCCCTCTGGGAGATATTTACATCCCAGCATTCAAAACCCAGCATCTGCTCTGTGTCAATGTCCCAGGTTCCCCCTGGAAAGGAAGGGAAGCCTTTACAGAGGGCACTTCACACAACTTCCTGTGGAAAGACATTTTGCTGTTCTCTGGGGATGTCCTACCCTCCTTCCACTACAGAGATACTCCAGTGACCAATCAATTTGCTGGCTGAGTTGCTGAGGTTCTCAGGAACCATATTAGAGTACATGCATGGAATGGAATCCTTAACAGTGGGAAGTCTGCCTTCAGCAAAAATACCCTAATAAGCCACTATAATTCTTTAAAAGAATGTTTACGCATAAGCTGATGATCGTACAGGTTTTAAATGAAAATAACTTGTATTTAGACCAGACATAAAAATGTGGTGGTGAAATAATGGAACAGCTTGCCTAGACAGGTGGTAGATGTCCCATTCATGGAAAGATGAAAGATTCGAGGTGAAGTTGGATGGGGCTCTGAGCAACCCGGTCTAGAGGAAGGTGTTCCTGCTCATTGCAGGGTTGCTGGACTAGACAACCTTTAAAGGTCCCTTCCAATCTAAACCTGGCTATAAGTCTATGAATTAGCTTTTAAATAAATTTGCATTCTTTGTTATTAGCATTATTTGAGCTCTGCCTGCCTCCTTCTATGCTCCATGGGCTGCATCCCACAACAGTTACAGTTACACAGTTTTATCAGGTTCCCAAACATCCTTTGGCTTTTGCAAATAGACAGCCAATTCTGGGCTCTGGTTCTGGTTCATAAGGATAGCAAAACTAGGCTACAATTATTAAAGCACAGAATGATTAACTGACTGAAACAGCTTTGCTCTAAGTGATGTGTGTCAAAGTGATGCTTATCTGACTGTGCTGTTGTTCTTACTGGTCCTGCCCGTGTTACAGTCAGTTGTTTCCAGAGTATGTAAAGAGTTTTTCCCCATTTAGAAACTAATGCCATTGCCTAAATTGCATGAGTTATAAGGGAAGTATGTTTATAGATATTCTAAAAATCTACATTGAAGTACAAGTTTTTTGAGCTGCAACTTGAACTTTTTTTGGCCACACAAATATTGGCAGGTGCTTGTGCCTGTACCAACCTGTGCATTGTACCAACTAATGATATCATCATGTCATGATGATATAAGAGGGACATATCCATGTGTGGATTTTATCTATTCAGTCCTTGCTTGAGAAAAGAGAGGTTTCTGCTGAAATTCTAAAAAGAGCCAGACCAGCCATCTGTGGACTGGCTATAGGCTTGCAAGTTTCCAAGTTTTAACAATGAATTAAAAGATTGACTATATAATCATTTAAAACACATGTCAGTGAAAAATAAAAGAGATATGTGCTAACACATAATCTATCTGGGAGCTCAGTAACTGAGAGAAACCTAGAGTTTTATCCTAGGTGGAAGTGGAGCCCTATGGAGTCCATCACACCAGCCTTGGATACCTTGGGAGGAACAGGATTAAAGGCCTGACTGATGACTAACTGTGATGGCATAATTCCAGATCTGCTGCCATGAACTGCACAGCCCCAGGCTGATGTCTTTCCTGCCCCACCTCCAACTGCAGCAAGCACCTCTAACCTGCAGCAATGCCAGGGAGGCAACCCCCTGGAAGGGATGGCAAATTTCCCCAGTTTCTTGACCCAAGGCATCACCTTCTGGCAAATAACCATATTTCTATTTTCTGCCTGCTCCAGGATGGAACTCAAGTTTCTTGCCTGGTAGAAGAGAAAGGCTGCAGCGGATTTCCTTGTCTCACTGCCCTCTTACACTTCACAGGAGGCACACTGTCAGAATATAACAGATCTGTATTGTATTTGATTAAGTCCTAAGCAAATGTCAATTCCAGCTGACCACGGGCTTTCAAAATCCTGAGCTAGTGACTTCCATGAATGTGCCCCAAGCACTCTGCCACCAGAGCTGCATGTAGAACAGCAAGGCCAGTGTATGTGGGGGGCACAGCTGTTCATTGTCTGTACCACCACGGAAACAAGGACTCCTCACTGTCAAAAACAGGTACAACTGCTCTTTCACAAAGAAACAACATAATTTGTCCAAATTTTAAATTTACCCATACCTTAGTCCACAGGGAGGCTCAGTCAGACCCCAGTAGTTCAGCATCTAGACTTCCAAATCCCACTGGCTTTCCATGGCTTTGGGTCACCCAGCTCCCCTCCCACTGCAGAAAGTTCCAGCCAGCCCAGAGGTCACATTAAACCTCTGGTCATATTTGATGGCATTGCCATCACTCAGGCACGTGACACTGGCAGGGTGGTGCGTACAGAGGGAGTCTTATAGCAATAACCATGCACACATGCAAATTCTGACTGCTCCCAGTGCTCTCACAGGACCTTTCTAGAGCATTCTAGAGCACTAGAAAGCACTAGGTTTTTGTGGTGATGGCTGAACCGACTTTTTCCAACCTCTGACCGTGTGAGGGCATTGCACTCTCTGTCCCCAGGCTGGTTTCCTCCCATGCCTCTCATGTACAGCACAACTTGAAAGGGGCTCTTAAGTCCTTCCAGTGAAGGTATGCTCTTGCACTCATATTTGCAGATGCAAAATCCTAAGGCATTATATAGAACAGCATTACAAATGGTATTTTTCACACTCAAAGACTGTGCCTTAAAGTTTGTGATCTACATAGCCTGAGCCAAATACATTCCTGCTGGAAATTGCCAGAAGAGCTTACTGACTCTGCTAAGGAACAGGGAGACACAAAAGGAATGGACTAAACTTTGATCTTCAAAGGACCAAATGATCTGTGTGCAGCACTGTGCCATGTGGGATTCCCTCCTTCCACCGTTTTACTGGAGCTCATCTCTGGTGTGGACTGGTTCTGTTTCACACTGTTAATAATAACATTGTGCCTGCCTGCTCACCCCAGCCTCAGGCTGTTCATACGTGGCACACACGAGGGCAGGCAGACAACACTGCAGATAGACTGGTCAGCCTTGCATTTCGGTTCTATGGCCTTAATTTTCAACTTGACATTAATGGAAACATCCTGAACAGCCCAGGAAAAGAGCAGGGATAGCATAAAGTCATGTTTTCTGAATTTGCCACGTTTTCTGAATTTCATTCATTAGATGAAGGAGTAACTTCACAGAAACAGAGCGACATTGAACATATGCAGCTCAGGATATGAAGTTAAATTACTTGTCTTTTTTTACCATGTCATATTTTCAATGGCTCTGGGCCAGACACAGAGCAATGACCCGAGTGAGACCATTTGTCTGGGTAACTGCTCACAACAGCATTGGTCACAGCAATGCCACTGCAGAACAACCCAGTACACTCAGCCTAAACAGCAGTTAGGTCTGATCATCTGAAAGACAAGGGCAAAGGATAAAAGATAAAGGAAAAAAGGAAAAAGAAAAAGGAGAAGACAAAAATGAAGAGCAAAAATTAAAATAATCAAAAGAAAGGCGAAAAGGAAGAAGAGAAAGAAAGGAAGAAGAAAAAGAAGGAAGGAAAGGAAAGGAAAGGAAAGGAAAGGAAAGGAAAGGAAAGGAAAGGAAAGGAAAGGAAAGGAAAGGAAAGGAATTGAGCTAGTGCTGAGCTTCCTGCTGGCACTAATTTAAGTCAAACACGCCACATTCCAACTTATTTCTTCGTGTGCTGCGCTCCAAATGCAGCATTTGTTTCTGCTGGCACAAAGTGCAGTACAAAACCAACCACTCTCTTCTATGACACGAAAGAAAAACAACCAAAATTTCAGTATCAAACAGAAACAGCTTTTCAAAATCCCCTCAGAAGCACAAAGGGTGTTTAGTGGGACAGACTGAGGACTGTCCTGCAGCAGGCTCTGGAGCAGCAGGCTGCCCCTGTCCCGGCCGGGCTGAGCCCTGTCCCGGCGGTGTCACTTACCCCTCACCAGCGCGGTGCCCGGCGGCGCTGCACATGCCTGGCCCCCCGCTCCTTGCACTTTGCTGGCATTTTGGTTTGTTCTCTCATCATCCATCTCAGCCCCGTCTGCCCAAGCGCTGTTTTTTCACTTTGTGGTTGGTCTCCAGAGTTCAAATTCCATCGTCCCCGGTGAGCCCCCAGCGGCCGCAGCGATCCCTGGCGCGGGCCGGGCCCGCATGAGGCGAGCAGCCCTCACGGCAGCCGGGCCGTGCTGCCGGCAGCAACCCGGGCAGGAACCCGAGCACCTGGGCTGCGACTTAACCAAACAGCTCCCGGGCTGCCCTGCTCGGCTGCCAGCGACCCAGCCGAGCGAGAGATGTGCCTGATGTCACATCCTCTGCAACGCGACGCCCAATCGGGGCGCCCGCCGCTCGTTTTTATCAGGAAGGAAATTCTTAGTTTGCCGAAAATACGAGACAGAAAGAGCCAGTTCGACTAGTTGAGCAAACTCTGCCTGCAGGGGATGCGCGGAGAGCCGGCAGAGCCCCGGGCAGGCAGAGCTCTGCCCCGCTCCCCGGGCAGGGCTTTGCGCCGCTCCGCTGGGGCGGGGCAGAGCGCGGAGCTGCGGGGCAGAGCGCGGAGCTGGGGCGCGGGCAGGGCGCGGAGCTGCGGGGCCAGAGCGCGGAGCTGCGGGGCAGAGCGCGGAGCGGCGCGGGCAGGGCGCGGAGCTGTTGGGGCAGAGCGCGGAGCGGCGCGGGCAGGGCGCGGAGCTGCGGTTCCAGAGCGCGGAGCTGCGGGGCCGCCGTGCCCGGGGCGAGCGCCGCCTGCCCGCGCCTCTGCGGAGCGGGGACAGCGAAGCGCAGCAGGGATCGTGTCCCCCTGCCCTGTCCGGCTGAGTTCACTGAGTCACACCCGCGGTTTTGTACCAAAACTTCTCAGCCTAAACAAACCATCACAAACCGAACAGTTTTAAAAAGTCTTCATTATTGCGGAAACCCATGGCACCAGGAATATTTCTCTGTCTGCTCTCGGGTGCCCTGACCCCCAGGGGAACACTGACTTGGACCCTCATTCATGGAGAAAGTTTTCTAGACTTCAAGATAGACTAGAATCAACAAAAGTGTGAAATAGATTATAGAGAGTAGTGTAGGTGTATCACTTGGTGAGAAATTCGGGTTTTGGGAATTTTAGTATGTTGTGCATGGAAGCAAGATGGAGGGCACAGGATGTTGTCCTGGGTTTCTTCTTCATGCTGCTTTCTTCCTTCTTCTTCATGGGTTTGGGTGGCATTTTGTAACTGGGCAGAAAAGTCCGCATTGCGGGCTCTTTGGGATCAGTTATTGGGTTACAAGGGAAAATAATCCAGGTGTCAGTTCTTAATTGGATAGTTTAGTCTTAAAAGACCTTGTAACAAGAGATTGTTGGCCATTTTGTGCCTTCTAATGAAACGCTGCCAAACTCAGGTTGTGAGACTGTTTTGCTGATAAGAAATAATAAACACCTGAGCCCAAACATGCACTAACATCTCAAGTGCCTTCAATCCAGACCCAGAGAAACCAACAACTGGTACCACCACAATTACTTTTTCAGGAGCATCTTTGTCTCATTTCTCTGTCTCTTTTGCAAAAGTTCTGTTCTCACAGATCATTTCTGTTTGACCTATTTTCCTTCCCAATTTAGTATCGTTTACAAGCACAAAATCCTTTTTCTGTCACTGAATATTTGCCCATTTGTGTTCAAGTGGAAGTAGGCAGAACTTCCATGCAACGTGTTTTAACATCAACCTGGACCTCAAGATAAACACCACAGAACTTCAAATACAGATTAGAAACAGCTTACACAACACAGAGACACAACAGAGCTTTTAAGCATTACAATACTATTTTCCTTTTAAATAGCAAATACACCCCCAAGTTCTATATAAACAGGTCTAGCTACAGAAATTACTTTATCCTTATTCAAGTGCAGCCATCCTTGGTGCATAGAAGTGCACAGTAAAGTGGAATCTACAACACTTAGTATTACCTTTTGTTCTGTTTACAGCGTGTCTTATAAAAGGAATAATTTTGTTTTCCTCCTTCAAAAATCTAAATTGTTTGGAATTCAATGGACTATTCTACTGAATTTGGAATTCAATGGACTATTCTACTCTTGGTTCTTTTTTTCTTCCACGTGCTAATCAGTTTTTTAAATTGTGCAGATTAATTTTATAATGATTGTATTATTATTATTAGCACAAAAATGAAAACGCCCCGCTGGTAAGTCTTGTCTTGGTATGAAAATTCAGCCTGGTTTCTGAGGCTGCAAACCACAGAATTACATAAAATGTTCAGAAAATTGGACACAAAACATAAGATTCATTTTTCTACTGAATTTGGAATTCAATGGACTATTCTACTCTTGGTTCTTTTTTTCTTCCACGTGCTAATCAGTTTTTTAAATTGTGCAGATTAATTTTATAATGATTGTATTATTATTATTAGCACAAAAATGAAAACGCCCCGCTGGTAAGTCTTGTCTTGGTATGAAAATTCAGCCTGGTTTCTGAGGATGCAAACCACAGAATTACATAAAATGTTCGGAAAAGTGGATACAAAAATAAGATTTGTTCAATTTACTTCAGAATCAGGGTGAGAAATCCTAGCTTTTCCTTAGCACTAGTGAAGAAATACAGGCATTTTCAAACCATGCTTTGTCTCACCTACTTTAGATGTCTGCTCTGGGGGAACACATATTGGAATTTTAGAGTCAGTCTTCACCGACTGTAAAAGGGATCCCTAAATCGTGAGCAGAGAATTAGGTGTGTATGTGTAAACAGCTGAAATGCACTCTAAAATCTGGCTGAATTGACAGCCAGGGGTCCCAGCTGTGACAGCCCTGGCTGCTGTCCTGTGCCTGGTCCTGCACAGCCTCTGGGTGCTGCAGCTCGGGGTGAAACATCTCCATCCACCCAAAGGCCAGCATTGCCCAGTGCCTGAACCTCAGAGCCTCAGCTCTGGAGTGCCTGCATCTCAGAGAGCAGGGTTTTGACAGACAGTTCAGACAGATTTATCTGCATTGATCCAAGCTGTTGTTCCCAGCCTGGCTCCCAACTCCCAGCAGAGATTACCCAAGACAAGGGATGGCAGCACTGGCCACAAACTGGTGCCACAGCTGTCTCAGTACGTGGCCCATTGTGTCAGCTCAAAAACCTATAAAAGCAGTTTGCTTCTCCAGCCTGTAAACTCGAGCCCTGAGATCCCAGCACATGCCACATCCTCCTCTAAGGCAGTAATTTCCACTCAGCAAGCAAGGCAAACATCTGGGACAGCCATGTTTTAAATCACAGCAGTTAAATCTGCCAGAGCTTGCCCTCAGGAGCACTAATGCACTGGTGTCATTTCCAGAGCTACCTTGGTTTTCTTTGGAAAGCTGCTGTGAAATCCTTGAGCTGACACAAAATGGAGAAGTTTTCCCTTGGAGAAATTAATAATACTGTCCAGTTCTTGTATCGCTAATTTCCTTTCCTCAAATAAAGTCTCTCCTCCAGAGGCTTTCCTTCTTTTACAGTTTTTCTGACATGAAATGTTTTCCTTTTCCTTCCTCTCACCCTCACAGAAACTTCCCTTTGCAAACATCCCATCATCCTGGCTGGGGACCAGACAGACTTCTGCAAGTAACTGTTCCCATCTGCAGGATGGCAAATTTACTTAGCAAGAGAGACTCTAAATAAAACAAACAAAAAAAATCCCGAAGAAGGTATCAAACACATCTTGGTTGCATCGTGGCTACATCAGTAGCACCTGGATCTGTGTTTAATTCATTGCAGATGTGGAGAAGCACCAAGATTTCCCAAGGAGCAGGACGAACTTTGCATGAGAGCTTGCAAACAAGGTTATTGTATTTTCATTGTGTCAAGAAGAAGATTAGGGGCATTTTCCCCACAGAGAGAAAAGCAAGAACAATCTGGTTTTCACCACCTGCTGCCAGTTGACTCTCAGTGAACATCTGTGTAAGAATCTTCATATGTTACAAAATATATCCTGACATTGCTTTCTGAAGTGGATTTAAAACATATGTGTGCACTCCTGCTCAGGCAAAAAGAATCCAAACCCTGAAAGTTGGTGGGTTTAAATTTGGTTTGGGTTTTGGTTTTTTTGTTTTTGTTGTTTTTTTGTTTGGTGTTTTTTTCTTTGGTTGTTGTTGTTTGGTTGTTGGTAGTGTGGATCTGTGTTTAATTCATTGCAGATGTGGAGAAGCACCAAGATTTCCCAAGGAGCAGGACGAACTTTGCATGAGAGCTTGCAAACAAGGTTATTGTATTTTCATTGTGTCAAGAAGAAGATTAGGGGCATTTTCCCCACAGAGAGAAAAGCAAGAACAATCTGGTTTTCACCACCTGCTGCCAGTTGACTCTCAGTGAACATCTGTGTAAGAATCTTCATATGTTACAAAATATATCCTGACATTGCTTTCTGAAGTGGATTTAAAACATATGTGTGCACTCCTGCTCAGGCAAAAAGAATCCAAACCCTGAAAGTTGGTGGGTTTAAATTTGGTTTGGGTTTTGGTTTTTTTGTTTTTGTTGTTTTTTTGTTTGGTGTTTTTTTCTTTGGTTGTTGTTGTTTCCTTGTTGGTAGTGGTGGTGGTTTTTGGTTTTTTTTTGTTTCTTTTCCAAATCATTATGATTTCTATCATTCCTGGAATGTTTTTGTCCTCTCTTGTGGGCTGCAATCCTGGTTTACCCACACTGCCAGGTGAATAGTGTGGTGAAACATCTCATGTGACAAGTACACACCAGCAGGCAGACAGTAGGTGTAACAACAGCAAAAGTGTCCATCTGACAGACTGTAAGGTAGTCTTGTCCAGTACCAAATTTTAAGTGAAACCAGAATACAGGCATAGAGCAGATTTAAATTTCTTTCTTCCCCTTTTCTAGCAGTTTATTATTAGTTTTGAAAAACAGTGGGAATTCTTTGGTTTGATGGCAAATCTTTTTGGTTCCCAGACTTTCCAGTGTAAAATAGTCATTTCTGAAGTTACCAAAATTATTTCCTCAAAGATATTAATTTTGTCAGAAACTTAACATTAAAAAAAAAAATTAGTTTTCCACTGATCCCAGTGTGGAGAAAACCCAAATGTAGCACAAACAAGCTCAGAGCCACAGAGGCCAGCTGGGTTGGCCCTGCTAAGCAGCACTCACATGGCAGGTCCCACACGGAGCATGTTCCCTGCATGGTGGGTGTTCCCAAAAAATGCAACTTTCCATGCCTTTCGCTGGTTTCTTTCTCTTCCCACTATCAGTACGAGGAGGACACAGCAGTAACAGCTCATGAGTATTGGAAAGATGGAATGGTGAAAAAAGAGTCATGGGAGGGAGGTATCTAATGGAGAGTCTCCTCTGCCCCAGTGCTTCTCTTCCCCAGTTTCACTGGGGTTAGATGTTCACTGCTTATCCAGCATATTACATTTCAGTAAGCTCTTCCACCCACTCCCACAGGCTGCTTTCCAGACCTTGGAGCTCACCTCTAGAAATTTCCCTCATGTGGCACAGCTTTCCACGCTTCTGCGTGTGATGGGCACAGCCAGCACATTCCAGCTGTCATCACAGCAGGACCTCCCAGCAGCATCCCTTGGGGACAGCTGCCAGCACCTTTCCACTTCTACAAAATGCAATTTGTGGACTTACACAAAAGTTACCCCAGGATCTCCTGAACCCTTGTCCAGAGCTGGGACTTCTGTTGGCTTCTAAAAATGGGCTTCAGAAAGCAACACTGCCAGCTCAACTGCTTGAGCAGCCAAAGAAAATGTCCCCAGACCCTGCAGCATCCCAGGCATGGCAGGTGCTCCCATTTGCTTTTGGTAAGGATTTTTAGTATATTAATAAGATGGGTGAAATTACTCAGCTGCCCTGAGCAATGTACTTGTCTCCCTGCCCTGCTCCTGGAAGATGGCATTTGGTGCAGTGGAGAAGAAGGTGTGTAGAATAGTTAAGCCCATAGGATCTGAACTGTTCCCAACATTATATTCAGGTCAAGGAAATCCTCTCACCAGACAGAACAGCTGCTTGGACCAGGAGCTATCCGCATTTTCTGTGTTGAAAATGCAAAGTTGGGACTGCAGTAAGCAGCCAGCTACAGCAGTAGTGTGCCTTGGTAGAAGTTTCCTTTGGTGTCCATGAGCACAGCTTGGCTTTTGTTTTGCATGAGACTTGAAATCCTCTGAAACAGCCAACAGATACTGATTCACAGTGCTGATGTTGTAAAAATAAGACTTTCCCTTCCTAAAGAATTATGAGCTGAGCACAGTGACAAGTATACATGTTTTGTCTTAGTACTGTATCCAGCTTGGCCACTCATCTGAATATCTGATTCTGCAGAAGGAAAACCTCCTCTGGAAAATGATGTACAGAGTGCAGGGCTTACCTGAGGCATAAAGATGGAGATGTGTGGCAGGGCTGCCTGACCCTGCCCTTCCTCCAGCTGTGGGACATGCCTGGTGCACAGCAGGCTGCAGAGAACCTCCCCCTCACCTGGTGGGGGTCACTCTGCATCAGCTCCCAGCATCATCCTCCATGTCCCAAACCAGGAGTGCCAGAGCCTCCCTGGGACCCCACAGGCCTTTGGTGGGTGGTGGGCAGAGGGGTCTGCAGCCAGCTCTTGCCTGGCCGTGCTGCAGGGAGGGCCAGAGCCATGTTCTCCTGCACCCTCAGAGCCCACACATCCCCTCAGGCTGCTTGGAGGGTCCTTCTCCACACACCTGCCCTCTTCAGAGCAGACCTGGGAGCTGTCTGCACGTGCAGCCCACAAAACAAGAGTTCTCTAATTCATTCTTCAGCTTGAAAAGGTGGTTAGTATTTTCTTGTTACCTGTTCTTGTGCCAGCAAGGACATTGGGGCAGGCATCTGAAGATCCGGAACAAGCCCCTCACTCAACTTACTGTTTCATCTGATGACAAAGCTTGCTAGGGATTTGTACCAGCAAAGAGAATTATCTGTAAAAGTGTACCAAGGATGAGCCCTTTTAGTCACATGCTTGAGATGTACTAAAAAAAAAAAAAAAAAATAGAAAGAAAGGGGAAAAAAAAACCTAATGAGTAATTTAATGGTCAGTGACAAAACCATATTTTTTCCCAAGCTGCTGCAAGTATGAAAAGCCCAGGTATTTCTCAGCCATTTACAAGGATAAATAGCAGACAGGGACATTTTCTGCACAGTAAATAATTTCAGCTCAAAGACTTTTATAAATATCAAATGAGGTTCCATCCTGCCAGACACCCAGCAGAGCAGCTGTGCTGCCCTGCAACAGTGGCTGCCACAGTGAGTGGGAGGGAGCATTTTGGGGGTAAAACTGGAAAGCACTTTGAGAAAAAAAGCAGTGTCAGCTCAGGGGGAAATGTCTTGCCCTCTCTACACCAACAGCCTGTAGGAACCTGTCTGTGGAAAGCTGGAATTACTTTTACTTGTTGGCATTGATTTAGAGGAAAGTTTTCATTGAAGTCTTGGAAATTCCCGACCCAAAAAATGTGTTCCTCAGTCACTGTAATTATTCAGGATGCCATGTTTAATATGTATGTCTCCTGTAAATCTGTAGTGACCCTGAAAGCACAAGTAGCAAAGAAAAATTATCACATTCATTAACTTGGAGCTACTCTGGGATATTTGAGGACGAGTGGTCTTCAACAGGTTCTCAGTAATGGAAGGCACAAAGCTGCTGGGACAAAGTCAAAGTATTTTTACAAACACCAGGCTACAGGGAGCAGGAACTCACCTTCTGAAACAGTTAAGAGCAAACATTTCCCTGTAGGATAATGAGACACAAATAATATGCAAAGGATGACCCTCTGGGCCAATGTCATTAAAAATATTTCACTTTACTTACATTGTGATAGAGACAGAATGAAAAGGGATCATTAATTTCTACGTAGTTTGATGAGTACACTTCTTTGGTTTTAATGCAGAAAACAAAATATGCCTTGTTTTGACTGTTAGTAAACCCTATCACCCTCATGGGGATTGGTAAACCAGCCTTCAAAGAAATTCAGGGCTACTGTCACTGCCCATAACAATTTGTCCATTGTGACCAGAGTAAAATAGGTATTTAGTCAGCATCTAGTGCAAGAAAAGTGCAGAGAGCAATACCCCTTCCAACCCCACCCCCCCCAAAAAAAAAAAAAGATAATTTGGAATCATGTTTGTGAAGCTGGAGAATTATATGGGCAACATAAAATGAGTAAGTCTGTGGAGTCTTTAATTCTTCTTTCCCGAAGACAAAAACTTGCACATTTCACTCACATTGCTAGGACAAAAAAATAAAAGTTAGAACAAGTTTTCTCTGGAAATCTCTACATCTCCTTCCCTTCCCATTCTGTCTAATTTCTATTTTGTTAGGGCATGTTAGCCTCTATAGCCAGCAGGTAGACCTGGCAAAAAAATGAACCATTCACCACAAAATTATACTGCTAGCAAGCCCCTGGTAACAAACAGCTAAAAATATGGCAGGATTCACAGAATTGTAGAATGATTTGGGTTGCAAGAGATCTTAGAGATCATCTAGCTCCAAACTCCCTGCCATAGGCAGGGACATCTTGCATTAGACCAGCTTGCTCAAAGCTCCAGCCAGCCTGGCCTTCAACATTTCCAGGTGCCCTAAGGAGCTCCACCATCCCGTGGTTACTGCAGCCAAGGCTTCCCCTGAGCTTCACATTCCCCACCAGCATTTCCTTGTTGGGGAGAGCAAAGTTCGGCCCAGCAGCTCTCCCCATTGGCACCTCTGTCACTTGGAGAAGGAAGTTATTATTAATGCATTCCAGGAACTTGCTGGTTTGCCTGTGCCCCACTGTCTTGCCCATCCAGCAAACACTGGGACAGCAGAAATTCCCATGAGGACCAGAGCTTGTGAATGTGAGGCTGTAAGGGTCTCATCCCTTCAGTCTCACTGGTCAGGTGGGCTGTAGCAGACCCCACAATAATGTCCCTACCCTCCCTTTAATCCTGACCCCAAAGAGCTCAGGCAGCTCCTCATCCATGCCCAGGCAGAGATCCATGCCCTCCAGCTGGTCATTGGCAGACAGGGAGGCTCCTCCTCCCCATCTCCTCTGCCTGCCTTTCACAAAGGTCCTGTGTCCTTCCATTCCAACATTCCAGTCACAGGAGCCATCCCACCACATCTCCATGATGACAATGAGATCATAGCCCTGCAGGTAGGACATGCTCTGCTGATTCATCTGTCTCCCCCCTTCCAGATGTTGTTCTCAACTGAATATGCAGATTATGCTTTATTCTGCAACTCCTGATACCCTTTATTGAAGATTTTTCAATTTTAAACCTGACATAGTTTTTCATTTGCTTGCAATATACATTGTGAATTTCTACAAATAGTATAAAATTTAAGAATAAAGAAATTTGCAATAAATAAAAATCAAATTAGGTAGAAGTTCAGTGTGGAATAATTTGTATTTGACAATAATATATTATACATCATGCAGAATATTAAAAAACAAAACAAACACAGTGAGGAGCAATTGGCATGTGGGAAATGGTGATTTCTGAAAAAAAATTACACAAAGGCATCAGGAACCATCACCCCAGGATACAGATCAGACAGATTTTTCAGCTGAGAGTCAGTGAATGTATTTAATTTTCATTCTTATCAGACTTGCCCTAATGCCATGCGGGACACACCATCAGCATTTTCAATCCAATAAAGATTGCAGGGGTGTTAAATTCCAGCAGCAGGGTTGTGCTTCAGGAGAAGGTCAGGCTTGGGACAGGAAGGTGCTGGGCAGCCCCTGTGTCTGCTGTCCTGCAGAGCTGGCAGCAGTGCAGGGCGTGGAGTGGCACAGAGGGGACTGCAGGGTTTGCACAGGGCAACACAGCATTTATTTCTAACTTGTGTGGAGGGCAGAAATCTAAATGCCTTGAGGAGGGTGTTGGCCAGGCTCAAGTTCCCTGGGGGAAGACAGAGTCAGAAGATGATCCTCCCATCCCACTGCCCAAAGTGGCACAGGCAGCTCCCATCACCAAAGGAGAGAGCACACAGGTGGACAGACAGACAGACAGACAGCCTCCCTCACAACCTGCATCTGCCTGGGAAGGTGGGTGTTGGCACCTCAAGGCAGATGAGGGGAATTTCAGTTCCTACAGTATAACAAGTTTCAACAATCTAGCATTTCCCTACACTTTTTAATTTCACCCTGTGAATGACAAATTCAACTGGACAGACAGAAATTCAGGGGTTGACAGATCTGCTGTGAAAAGCTGAGTCCTAAAGAGGATGGAGGATGGTTAATGCCAATAGCAGAGTTGTCCTGTAGGAACAGAGATCACCCTGAACCCAGCAGGCTGGTCAGGAGATCAAAACAGATCTTTTTGGAGCCAAATCAGAATGAAACTTCTTTTCCTAGCTACCTTAAGAAATACTGTTTATTAAGCCCTCCCAGAATGTGTCAGCCTATTTATGCTCACTGTTGTATGTCCCCGAGGACGTGGCCCATTGGCCAGAATGCTCGCAGAGAAAAGTTAATCTCAAGCTACAGGGAAACCCGTGGAGCCAGGTTTTGGGCAGGAGACTGAGAGAGCACTGTATAGCAGTGGAATTGCAGCACATAAAAATGTCCCCAGGCAAACCATACCTTACCCAAACAACCGATTTTTTTTTTTTTAATTAATGATCCTAGAATGACAGACACCACTTTTTAAAGAAAAGAGACTTTGTGAGATTAATTTCCCTTCTCCTACCTTCAGAAAAGCAGCTGACAGATGTTTTCCAAACTCATTTTGAAAAATCACCAAGACTCAATAGCCTCATAGAAAATTGTCCCCGTCTTTCCTTATCGTCACATGAGATGGCATTTTTGAAAAAAAAAATTAAATACTTCCTCCAGCTATTTCCTCAGTACTTCCATGCATTGTTATGACACAAAGCACAGCCAATGAGAATTAAATGAGTAACTTCATAATTTGAGGTAAAAGCAAGAAAGTCTAGGTAAAGTTTCTAATGAAATTTCTTAATCTCAGGAGACTTCTGAACTTCTCTTCTAATTTATTAAAGCTGTCAGACTCTCTGATATACAGAATTTCAGAGAGAAGTAAGTCTCCAGGAAGAAGGAAAGGTAAGGTGATTTTTTGATGGGAAGCTAATATCAGGAATAAATATAGGGCACCTTCTCCTGCTTCTTGAGATAAAACTTTCTGAGAGGCTGAGTAGACTGCATTTTCTTAATGGAGATACATTTTTTCAATTTAAAATCCTATGCAAGTGAAATACTGCTTTCATTGATGATCACAGAAGGAAATCAATTCAGCATTACACATTTTGAAATGGATCCCATAAATTGCCTTAGTCCCCGACTGCAGTGCAAGTCTGACAACTCACACAGCTGAGCCTCTGTCTCTGTTTAGAGAGCAGATTGTATTCTCACTGCCACATTATTAGCAGAGCAGATGAGTTTGCAGTAAAGATAGAACTGAGAGGGACCTGCTGACATCAGATTAATATAGACGTTTCTTTCTTGATAGTATTTGATTTTCAAAGGCTCTTGAGAATTTAGTGCTCAAATCTCTGAGTTTCATGATGTATTATACCATACAAGGTCAATGATGTCACTGACAACTTTATGGGCAATAGCTCTTGCCATCAGATAACATTCAATATGTGCAAACACAGGCTGAGAACTGCATCCGTTTTTGGCTGTAATGTTGAAGGTCCAGTCTCATGAGCTGCTGAGAGCTCAGTTTATCTTACTTGTGCTGAATTAATCATAAAGAAGTATGGGAAACATTAGACCTTTGTCTCAGAAAACTGTCAGGGTGACATTAAGGGATTATTAGCATTGAAGCAGAGACTGCTGCTGCTGGAGCAGGAACAGGAGCCTGGATGCTGTTGGAAGCCAGTCCTGTGTCCAGACTCCAGGAGGCAAATTCTCTCTGACTTAAGATGTATGGGCAGTGAAAATTGGTGCCAGCATGGTTAACTCCTAAAGAAACCAGTACATTTCACAGCCTGAAAATGTGTCAGCAGCCTCTTGGACCTGTGAAGTTGAACAGGCTGGAGACAGAGTCCTTTTAATTCTGCTTCCCATTTTGCTACAACTAGTGAAACACCATTGCCTGTCTCATGGCAGAAGTTTACCAAAACTTGGCTCTGAAGAAGTGTTTTGTCCCCCAGAAGAACCTGCCCAAGAAAAATAAACAAATCTTTACAAAGTCAAACAGGCACTGCAAGTGTCACTGTACACCACATTTTTCAGCTCAAAGAGGTGCATGCTTTCAGCCCTGCTGTTTCCAAGCTACTAATCCTCACATTATTTAAACTAATACCACAATGGACAATTATAACACTCTGAAACTCTTTTCTTCTAGGGAAGTAATTAAAGCCTCTAGAATAGGGGGCAAGGGAGCAAACAAGGCTGCAAACCACTCCTGGTGAGGAAAATTAGACAAGGACAACATTTGGGTGATGCACAATCATCTTTAGTGCCCTGCTTCTCTCCAGCTCCACAGTCCAAGGACTTACCTTGAGAAATGTCAAAGCGTACAAAGCCAAAAAAAAAAAAAAAGGAGCACTATTTCCTTTGTTTTTCTTTAAACCTTGCAAAGGATGGACATTGAAATATCACCTACTATGCCTATAAAAACATTTGCAGTTCTGTCATGGAATTAAGCTATGAAAAAATGTTCATGTAGTGAATACAGCCAGATCTCAGGTGACATAACTTCGTAAGGATTTTTTCTGGAAGAGATGAAAGGATTTTTTAAGACTTTCACACAGTTTTGTGGGTTTACTCAAAACCCCCGCACTTGCTTTCATAGCATCACTTGTACCTCCAAGGACAAGATGTGTTAGCACTGGGGATAGCTGTGCTCAGGGCTCAGAGATGTACAGTGGCTGGACAGCCAGAGACTACTGGAAATTGATAGGGCTGCAGCAGACAATAGGAAGGAGATGAGAGGATGCAAAATCAAAGCTGATAAAAGATGTGCAGTATATTGTATACCTCTGATGTTTGTCACTGAAAGCTTTCACTTTCACATACTAATGGAAGAAAAATATCCACTGCCTTGATTTTGACATTGAGATTGGACAGACAAAGGGAAGAAGCTGCACAGATACTGCACAAATAAATATAGCCCTAAATACAGGGGATATCTCTGTGCCTAAATGGGTGAGTGGACGTGTGTATTTGCACCTACAAAAACATGTCAAGTGAGCTGTTTATGTTCTAGAACTTCTCAGGCTGGTGTGAATCCATGTGGCAATAGATTGTGAGGGAACTGTATCCATGATACCATTCACTGCCTGTGAAAAGGTGTTTTCAATTTTCACTGTCATATAGCAGCCAATGTTTGGTAGCCACAGAAGACAGTAAATGATGCCTTTGATTTTTTTTTTCCTTTGATACAATAATCTTGGAGTAAACAACCATTTGTTCCTCTTTCTTTTCCAGTCCCAAGCAGCCCCAGATTATCGATAGAGGAGGAAGCTCTGCAGTGGCTCGGGCAGGTGCAGCCTGGGGATTGTGTGCAGGCACGACCGACCCAGATGCCTTCTGATGCACAACCGGCACAGCTGGGCCAGGCTGGCAGGACCTGGAGGGACAAAAGGCAAGAATGAGCACCCTCAAACCCACCACCAGTGTGAGTCAAAGCAACAAACACCAGCAGGACTTGCAAGCACTACACAATGACTTGCTGAGGTCATGGAGTGTTAGATACATTATTGTTTGTATTAAAGTTGTGTTGTCAGAGTTGGTTCAGCAATTTGAAAGCTGTGAGCACTAAACAGCTTTTTCTGTATGCACAGCTAGGCTGTTTGGCATATTTTCTTGAGAAAACACCTAAAGAAGTGTCTGCACTGGAGAGAGAGAGCTCTGGAATGCTTAGTGCTTTCTCAGGATATAAGACAACCCTCAGCAGTTTTGTGAGGATAAAGGATAAGTACAGTTAATTGTTCATATATACAGAACATGCTTTTTCCAGCTACCGGTGCCTCAGCAGGTGTCTGCACAAGTAGTATCTACAACTGTGCCTTTTTACATTACCACAGTCTCAGAATATTTATATTTGTCAGTCAGTCCACCAGTGCTCCTTAAAACATTTCTTACTGTGACATCTAATTTTAGCTAAATCTGACTGAAGGGAAAACTTTTGAAGAAAGGTCTCAAAGATAGAAGGTCTTCATTTTTTTTTTTTTTCAAAAAGACATTGAGGATAAAAAATAAAATAAAGAAAGAAAAAAAAAAGAAGAAATAACAAAAAAACAAGATGAGAAGATGTGGAGTGTTTTTGCCCTTCCTGTGCTGCATGTGAGAACTCTTGTTACACATCAGAGGGTCGAGTGGTTGGAAAGCTGTCAGAGGACTGCTCCTGGGCAGTGGCTGGCACAGGGCTGCCCACAGTGGTGCTGCCCCAGGGTTTCCCCTGCAGGGTGACCGGGAGCTGTCCCCACCCCACCGTGGGTAGCTGAGGTGAATGCCAGGCACAAACCCACTGGATATGAGGCTCCATTGCTTCTGCAACTACAAGCTTGCACATGCAAACACACCCTGCCAGTGAATGTGTCTCTGTCCTTCCTTCACTTCCCTTTTGCCACAGCTCATCCAGGTGCAGCCTTTACACCTGCCCAGAGGTGCTCAGTTTTTGAACCCTCTCTTGCCCTTCCACTCCAGTTTCTGTCCAAACAGTAGCGATCACTGCAGAGTTTGACAAGTAATAGGTAGAGATGTGGGCTTAAAGGCCTGTCCTTATGTCTCACAGGTAAGCTTCATAATCTGTGCTTTTACCACGGGAAAATTTAGGAGATTAAACAGGCTGATAATATCCCCTCTGAGAAGAAATTAATAGAAAGATAAGGGATTTATAAAAAAGAACTTCTGTACTACTGTCACTGGAAGTGAAAAAAGAAACTACCATCTTCTAAAGCACTTAGGAAAACAGACACATTTGATATTTCACATCACTTAATAGCTAGTGAGAGGAGAAATTAAAGGGACCCATCTAAGTAACCTCAGTGAAGAAGTTAGGGGTAGAGAAACTCTTCAGCCTGGGGTACTTATTTCAAACAGAAGGACCTCAGAAAACACAGAAGCAGGGGGAAAAAGTAGTTGCATGTTAAGCACAGCAAAATATCTGAAAGTAGGACCAAAGGTGAGGAAACTGGGGAAACTTCATGCCTGAAAAACAAAGAGTCAGCAGGAACTGAAATGCCTTTAAGAGCTTTTCTGACTGTAAGGGAGCAGAGGGTGACAAGGTGGGAGTAAAAATCAAAAGGAACGTTCAGGAAGAGAAATTTATTAATATTAGGATATTTCTTTATCTACACCTACTCTGATTCACAGGGCAATGGTAGCAGCACACTTGGCAGCACTGCCTTTGCTCCCACAGTCTGCCACTGAGCTCTGGGCAACTCAGGTATGGGGACAAAAGTCACACAAGGTGAGAAGCATTCAAACAAAATTCCTCCCAGAAGGTTTTAGACATGACAAATTAAAGCTCTGCATGAAAAGTCATAGAGAAAGGGAACAGGACAGAAGGATATTAAGCCAATGTTTTGTTTCCTCCATAAAGCCCACCTGTGTTCAGAGGGTTGGGACAAAGCCTGTGTGCAGCAGTGACATTTATTAATTTACCATGCAAGAGCTATTTGGAATTGGGCTTTTTGTGCCCATCATGCTTTGGTCCTTGGTGTATTGTGAGCAGGCTCAGGAAGATGGGAGGCCTTGCTTGGGGGAGCACAATTCAACAAGTCTGAAGAGCCTCAGGGGACACAGACCAGCTAAGAGGGTACCAGTGAGCTGGGAAACAGAGATTAGAGGAGGGGAGAACTAATTCAGCAACCCATAGCACAGGGATGTTGCTCTTGGATGCATCAAGTTCTGGCCAAGTGTTGCGCAGGTGAAAACAGCACAAGAGGATCCTGATTTGTTTCTGCTGAGAGGTTTCTTCCAGTAAACTGAAGGATAATTAATTGTTGGAGGTCTGGAGGTGAACAGCAAAGTGCTGGTCTGATGTTGTTAAATTAGGGATGGAAGAAAATACTCCAGTTTTTAGAAGGTGAATTAGACGGCAATTTAATGAAGGTAGTGGGTTTTTTATAATGTGACTCGCTAAGGTGAGACTTGATGGGTCTCAAAGTAAAAACTTCTCACACTGTTGGTGAACTATGAATAGTACACTTTGAAGAACTATATTTATAAACAATAGTTACAAAAAGAAAAATAATAATGGTTATAATTTTTTTCTCTAAGTTTCCCAAGGAAAATATATCTCTGTTCTTTCTTCAACTAAACTGAAAATATCCACACTGGTCTGTGCTGGGATTGCAGCCCCATAAACCACATGGAAGAGCTGTGAAGCTGAAGAGTCACCTGGCAAAGGGCTTTGCTTTCTCCTGGCAGCCGAGGACACACTCACCCATTGAGCCATGGTGCAAGGCTGAACACTGGGTGGTGGTACTAAAACATTATCTATTAATAAACTTTCGTGGTAGTTTTTAACACTAGGAGTCCCACCAGGTAAATACGTATGATCTTCCTTTAGTAGACAGGGAAAAAAAAGCACAGAATAACTGACTGATTTGCCTGCTAAAACCGTAGCACCAGGTGGCAGATCTAGCAACAAAACAGATTTCTGTGTCATGTGCTGGAGGTTTGAAGGCAGCAGAGAAGATAAGAGAATGTATGTGGAGCATGACTTATAAAAGCAGTTAAGAAAATATACTTAGGTAAAGGATACAAATACTACTTTACTTAAAAAAGGAGAAGAAAGGAAACCATTACCTTCCCGAAGCAGAAGTGCCTGCTCCACTTTGCTGTGGGGTGTGGCAAGATCCAGGGCACATTTGAGGTCAGCATTTCTGCACTTTGGGTTAGCACCATAGTCTGTCAGCAGCACAACTATCTCCACGCTGGATTTGCGCGCTGCCGCGTGCAGGGGGGTGTCCAGTCGCCTCCCCACGTTCACATTGGCTCCTTGGGTGAACAAGGGCTCGTGGTTAGATCTGGTGGGCAGCAGGGGCTGTCTGAACCTGCATCACACAGGCTGAACCTGCGTCACACAGGCTGGTTTCCTCAGTAGATGAAGGGGAAGGATGGCACACAGGACTTCCCCGTCTCTCAAGAGCAGCTGTGCAGAGCTCAGCAGGTCAGACCCCTGCCCTGGCAGAGTGCTCTGAGCCACCAAAGCCTGTCTGCAATGCGCAGAATTGAGCAGCCTGACCTTCCACCCAAAATATGTTCAAAGCCTACCATATGTTCTTTAAAGTTGTTAATGGCATAAAATCTAATATGGATTATGTTAATTTAATTGCCAGGGGAAAAAAAAAAACATGAAACCTTTAGGTATTTCATTGTAGTAAGTCTGGGAGCACAGCAAGCAAAATGCTTGCCCCAGACTGGCTGGGCACAGCAGGGCCACACTTTGAGCAGGTGTAAGTCAGCTAAAGCACACTGACAGCAAAAATTTATGCTAGTTCATAGCCTGTGCCTAGACCTGCAGTGATTATTCTTCCAAGCAGCTTTATTGCTGCTCTCATCATCCACTGAGGAGGAGGTGAAGTTAATGGTTCTGATAAACTGCTATGTTAAGCAAGAGTTGATTTTGGTCAGTAATATTAGCCAGGATTTTCTGTGCTTCCTGTTACCATGCTAGAAAACTAAAATTCTGTTTTCACATACAGATAGCCTCAGGGAGGTGTCTGTAATTAAGAAAGCTTTTCACTTGGGAAATAATAATTTCTTTATCAATACAGGAGAAATGTGTAATGGCCTCAAATGAGTCTGACAGAGTCAGGCTCCCAGACAACTCTTGTGGAAATAACCCATGATGTTTTAAGTAGAGAGGCAGCTCAGAGAGACCAGCAGCATTGGCTCACACCACAGTGGATTAACTCTCCCCCTGCCCCTTTTCCAGGTGTACCTAGCTCCAAAAGCTTCTTGACACATTCTGTTCTCTGGTACGTGCAGGCCATGTACAGAGGGGTCCCATGCTGTGGGTCTTCTTGGTCAATGTCAACCTCATGGGCCAGGAGGGTCTCCATGCACTCCCTGTGACCTGTGGGGGGAAGAGCTGTCACTGAATTGCTGCAGAGCAGAACACACCCAGATACAGCTGTGAGGCACAAGAGCAGTGAAAAAGCCAAGCCTGTTTATCTGTACTGAGATGGAAATAATTTTTTAAATGCTTTGTGGACGACAAAAGCCGCTTTTGTCACGCAGTTATTGTTGGCTTCGCCCACACCCCTCCCACCCAGAACATCACCTCTCTTGACTGCTTCGTGGATGGGCGAGGGCAGGTGGTTCCCCAGCTGTGCCTTGGCTCCAAATTCCAGCAGCATGCTGACACAGGCTGCACTGCCACTGCAGCAGGCGTTGAACAGGGGAGTGACCCCGTCGATGGTGGCTGCATTCACCTGCAGTGGAGGACACACTCAGGACAATCCCGTTTGAGACACGCCTCCTGTGCACTCCAGAAGTGCACCAGAGTGAGACTCTTGCCTTGTTTAATTTCAGGAATTAATTTATTTACAGCTTTCTGAGTTATATGTTGTGGTATAACATATATAGCATTCTCCTTTTGTGTCTGCCCTCTTTCGCAGACAGTGCCATAAGGCAGAAATCCTGCCTGCTCTGAATGCTCCTGCTGGAGCTGCTAAAAAATGCAACTTTCTATTCATTCTTTTTTTATTATTATTTTTTTAACGTGAAGAAGTTAAGTATTTTCAAGATTCTTTAGTTTGCACCAGCCTCAAGGTGGAATACCCTCAAATGAAAATGGCTTTGCTTTTTAAATGAAAATTTGCTTTCTGTTTAATAGTTTAATCTGAAAACGCATTTCTAGCAAAAGAAATTTTCATGGAAACATAATCCCAAACAGAAAAGGAGCTTGAAGGAGTTGATATGCATGTGTGTTTATGCAAGACAGAAATTTTCTTCCCCAGTTTCTGATGTAAAGACCTGGCAAGAATCACTATTGCCATTCTCCACTGGGACAGCAGAGCTGTGGATCAGTCACAGAATATGTTGAGTTGGAAGGGATCCATTGGATCATGGAGTCCAACTCCTGGCCTGGCACAAGACACTCCAGGAATCACACCTTACCCCTGTTTATGCTGTGTTTAACTATGCAGAAAGCCCTCAGGGCCAATTTTTGAAGCAAATCTGCATGTCTTTAACTCTGTGGCACAATGGAGAAGAGCAATGGATTATGCAAGCCCATGCCAATTTGTAAAATTTCCACCACCCTCACCTCCTGCCAGTGTCATCAGGCGGGTGTGGCTGAAGCTGCTGGAGGCACTGGAGGTCTCTTGACTGTTTTGGTGCTGCTTGGTTTCTTGCCATATAAATTTTACTTGAAAACCCAGCTGACATAAAAATATCCTTATATATTTCACCCATTCCTTAATCTCTATTGTAAACATGTCTCTGCCTTAGGTCCAGTTGTGAGAATTGTTATTTTATTAGCAGATAAAATGTTTAATTGCTTCAAGCACATCCATTTTTACTTACATGAGACTCCCAAACCTTCCCATAGAAAACCAGGTGTAATTCCAGTGATCACTGCTGAGGGGGGAGTGGGGAGGGCAAAGGTGTGAGTTACTTTCTTCAAGGTTATTTCACTTAGCATCTTTCATTCATTTTCCATCAATCATGACTATGTTTCACACACAAAGGGAAAACAAAAGAGAATAAAGGGATGACACAAGGGGGAGACAAATCTATCACCCAGGGAAACAGAACACTGTTATGTTTTTCCACCTTTCTGAGATGTCCACGTGCATCTTGGCCCTGCCAGCTGGACAGCACGTCCAACATCCCCACTGGGGCCAGGAGCATCCGTTCCCAGGTGCCCATGTCCCAGAGTCATCCCCAGGACTTACCTGGGCACCGTTTTCCAGCAGCACCTTGGCACAGGCCACGTGGCCACCCAGGCAGGCCTCGTGGAGAGCAGACACACGGTCCGTGGTCACCAGGTTCACGTTGAAACCCTGCAACCAGAGCAGGGTGTGAGGGGGAGCCCTGCCCTGCCCAGCTCCTGCAGGGCTCCTGGCGTGCCCGTGGCAGGGGAGTCATGTCAGAGCTGTGTCCAGGGAAAGGGCTCAGGTCAGATTGGTGCTGTTCAGTGATTTCTTGTCCCCACAAACCACAGCTGGTGATGGGGTTAAAGAGGGAGCAGTCACAAGCTATGCCTTCTATTTCTAGCTCTTTACAAAGCACTGTCCATTATAGGAAAGGCTTTACATTAATTTATAAGGGTGGCATTTCCTTCACTGTTAAGTCCTGCACCAGGAGGTACAGCTGGAGCGATTCACCTGAATGCTTCTGGCACAGGTGTCTGCAGCTCAGCTGGAGCTGGCAGCTCCTTCAGTGGGGAGATTCCCTAGGATATGATTCATCCCGTGCTAAAGCAGCTGTTTCCAGTAGGGCAGACAAATTGTATCCTAAAAGTTCTTTCATTCACTACTTGGGGTACCCAAGGGTGTTTCACTCAGAGGTAATAAGTACCTGGTAAACCTATAAGAGAGATGAGTCAAATCCCTCCCACAAATCAGTTCCTCTTATCTGACCACCCAGGAAATGTTTTACAGTGATTTACAAATCACTGTTGATTTCCTGTTGATCACTGTTGAATGCCTGATTTCAGGTGTTTTCCTAGTTGACAGTTGCCATATCTATTCCTGCACAGAGACAAACCAGACATATTCACAAAGAGAAAAGCAGTTGTCATCCGTGTTTTCCTCTGAATGTAATTAAATCCCCTTGTAATTAGAATTTTACAGCCATGGGTGAGAACAGGCCTGGAAGCAGCTCCATTTTCTGCTTGATGTCATATTTTGAAGCACTGTTGGTGTCTGCCTGACGTGCTATAGACAGGGCAGCTCACGAGATGGCAGCAATGCACTTTTTGGTACGCAGTACCCAATGCAATGTGCAGAAAGGAGTACCTGGGAGCAACCTCACACAGCAAAAAAGGCAGCAGTCCTGACACCGTGAGTATTAAAAGCACTGTAAACACTTCAGGCTGATAGAAAAACAATCTTTTTCAGTCATGTGAAAATATTATTCATGTAAAAGTTGTTGGTAAAATTTCTCATGCATTACAATGATGGTAGGGGAATAGACAAAACCTTGAAAAAATAGATTATTCCATTTTCTAATTGTATGGTTGTTTCATACTTCGTGATCAGCATATTCCTTCAAGATTAATTCCTTCTAGATACTCCTAATAAGGAGTATTCTCAATCATTATTCATATATACATGTATATATATATTTAACAAATAGAACTCAGTCATATCAAGTGAAAGCACAAGCACTGATGTCTTGGGAAAAACAGCAATTCCTTTCATTACAAAATGAAGAATAAGTTAAGTAGATAAGTAGATCGTCCAATGGCTGTTTGCCAAACATCACTCTCATTACAAAATGAAGAATAAGTTAAGTAGATAAGATAAGTAGATCATCCAATGGCTGTTTGCCAAACATCACTAATGATAAACCTTGTTTTCAATGGACATGAAAAATCAAACCCTTTTTTCAGGCACTGAAACAGACATTGGTGAGTTCTTGAGCCATTTGAAAACTCCAGCAGTGCATCACCTCCCTGTGTCCAGGCATTCCCTGTGCAGCCAGAGCCTCAGTGGCTTTCTTGAAAGCTATACTGCTGCAGTAGAGACTTCTGAGTGTCCCACAGACACTCAAGTACAGTCCCGTACTTCATTTCAGGCTAGTAGTGTGACTTTATTAGAAGCAATGAGCAATGATTATGCTGTTCCATGAACAGTTCCATCCCTGCATTTATCAATCTGTGGTGACTCAGCTCCAATTCAGGCTCTACAGACATTGCTGCTTTGATCTCTTTTCATAAGCAAGGACCTTCATCTTTAACTCCCAAAATTAAATGTTTTCAGGAAAAGGAGAAATGGTGGATTGACTAAATGATATAGCCACACCACTGGGTGCTTCCTGAGTGTACAGCCATGAACAGTGCATAACCAGGGCATCTGGTGAATAACCACAACACCAGGTGCTCTACAAAGCAGTGGTGCAAGGTCAGCATAAATGGAGATAGAGGGGTCAGAAAACCATCAAATCCCTAAATTAATAAAGCCTCTTTAACCTCCATCACTTCCTTTTCCCTAAAAATCACTTTGTGTCAGCAGGTAAAGGAAAGAGATATCAGAAAATGGGAGGGCATTTACTGTCTGTAAACAGCATCCTTTTTATTTAGCTGCAGCTGTGCCTCAAGAGGTCTCTGGAGAGGAGGCTTTCCCACTGGCAGCTCCACTCCTTGAGGATGTTGTCCATTAATGCTGTGGCCTCTGCTAATAATTTACCTTGGCTATAAAAAGTCTGATAGCCAAGTCAAAATCTTTATACCCAGGGAATTAATTTCTCTGCAGTTGCCTTGGGGGCAAGAAGGAGAGGGGGACAGTAATCTGTTCATGCTAGATGGGGACACGGAGTTTAAGCAAAGGTGGGAAGGAAGATTAATGGCAGAGCACAAAGAACCATAACCTCTTTTCATATCCAGCTTCTTTTCCTTCTCATGTATTCTCTTCTCCTCTCTTCCTTTTGCCTGAACTCTTGGCTCCTTTTGGAGCAGAGGGTTTCAGGCTGACTATAAAAGGTGAGATGCCTTTTATAAGGCATGCCTTTTTAATGTTTTGGGGTTTTTTTAAAATAGTCTATATTTATACATTTATATCCTTATTCTCAAGCCTAGTTGCATGTTTCATCATTGAGAAAGAGCAAAAGGATCATTGATTAGCAAGCTGCAAGCTGTGATAGTCTTTGTCCCAGACTTGTCCCTAGCTTTTTAACTGAGCAAACTCATACATGCCCAGAGGTGTTTGTGCTGATATATTATTCATGCAGCCATATTTCTTATGCCCTGTTGCAGTCTATTACCAGCTCACCAGCCCATAATTCATGTGAAACCACCTTGCTTCCCAGCCTTTTCTTTCCCTGTGGACTTTTACCTGTGCAATCAAGGTTTTCAGAGAGAGAAGGCGTCCCTGGAAGGCAGCATCATGAAGAGGGGATCGGTCTGCCCAGCTGCCTGAAACAGCAAATGCATGGAAGCTAATTCAGGGATGCAGCAAAAGCAGATCTTGGGAGGACAGGGAAGCACAGCCACGTGTAAATGCAGATCAAGACTGAAATCAATGGGGGCTTAGCAGTGAAACTGTTTGATGAATTCATTTCAGCAGAGCAGCTGAGGGATCTGCAATCCTGAGAAAGCTGGCTGCTCACTAAGGGACCTAAACAAAAGCTTCTTGGCAGAACTTTTAAAAGAACAGTTAAAAACATGTTTCAGCAAAGATCACGAGTTTAGTGCTGCTGGGTCTCACATGGAGACTTCAGAACCCTGCAATTCTCCTACTCAAAACTATATCAGCCTCCACCTTTCCTTGGGAACTCTTGTCACAAATTGCATCCCAGCTTCTCTGACACTTTTAAGAGCCTCATAGCAGGGTTGACTTGTCCATCAGATGAATTCTGGCATGTCCTTGGCAGTTTTATTTCCTGAACTGACAATTTCATAAATAACATCCTCCCTCTCAGACTACCATGTAACAGGTTTAATAATTCTCGTCACTGAAATATTTTAGAAAATATGTGGAAAACCAAATTCTGCCTGAAGGCTTTACTTTTCTTCTTTAATAATTTTGAGATACTGAATTGTTCAGACTTCTTCATGTAGGCTTGCTTGCCCTTTTTCCTATCCTAATCTATTTATGCGCCAAGAAAAATAATTCTTTAGCCTAGCTACCACCTACAGGCATAGACATTCAGCTCAGGTTAAATCCCTGCCACTCAAATAGAGGGCAAATTTACTTGTCCTATATTAAAATTTATAACCATCCTGTGACACAGTGTGTAGTAAGTATTTCTCCAAAGGCCAGCTGCATTTCCAGTGCCACAGGACACAAGCAATACCAGTGTTTGCATTCATGCTCTGTTGTACAGCAAACCCATGGGCACTGTATTTGAAACCCTTGTCCTGTTAAATTTTTTCAGCTATGCTGCACACCAGAGAGAATGGAAAGGGTGATTTATCTCCATTTCACATGCTACCCAAGGCAGGGAGGAATCAATGAGAGGCATGGACACATCCATGGGGACTTGAGGGCAAGGACACAGCAGAGGTTTTACCCTGGGCCAAAGGAGTCTCCTTTTGTTACCCAAGGACCAGGATGCACTTCAGCTACTGGAGTTACAGTTTTAACTATAGTAATTACTTTTTTTTCCATTTATTTCGGGAGCACTTCCTGGGCTCCTAAGGCAGGAAACTGGCATGGAAAGACCAGCTGGCACAATAGATGGCAAGGCTATGAATGACACATCAGGCAAAATGATGGAAACAGGAGCCAAGTAAGGAGAAAGAAACGCCTTCCTGAAACCCCCCAAACACCCCACACCTCTCATCATGCTGGCGACTGAAACAGGCAAGCTCGGTTCAGAAAGCCAGAAGACATTGCAAGTGACAAAGCCCAGAGCCCTCACAGAGCAGGAAGATTCAGGAGTTACTCAGACAGCAGAGCTACAGGGCCTTATTTAACCTTTTGTGCAGAGGATAACTTGTGCGAGTGCGTGTTCTCACATGCACTCCCAGGGCATTCCCAGCACATGTGTATGCACACACAGCCTCAGGACAACACACACTCTGCACACACCAGCCACCACAACCTACCTCCCTGAAACGTGTGGCAAATATAGTTCCCATATGGAGCACATCTCCCCTGCTCAGCTGGGAGTGACATGACTGAAAGTGCTCTTTTTAAATGCCTACAGATAAATTATGCAGCCCTGCTGCTGCTGCTGCTGTGCTGCTGCACTGCAAAGAGAAAAGGTTGTGAAGCTCTGGCTGTAATATGATACAGTGCCCCAGCAACAACATCACATGATTTTACATTTTGTAAGATTATCCTTAATGGCTTTCTGCAAATGGAAACTTGCAGATAAAAATATGTTATGGCCTGCTGAATTTCAAGGCACTTCAGTAAGAACCTGCTTGAAGGAAAAACTGCTGTTCACCACGTGTCAGACTATGATTGCACAGAGGGGCTTGGAAAAAATGACAGCAACAAATGACTGGAATTGTATTCTAGAGAATAAAAAATAAATTAATAACCAAGACATGCCTGTATATATACAGACTTCATAAAGGCTTTGTCAAAAATGCTTGGCTGCAGTATTTCTCTTGGCCTGATCTTAATCTCCCTGCTTTGGGTGGCCATCCCCCAACATCTGTGCTCTGATGCCATTCCTGTGCCTGCTCATGATGGCACAACCACAAAGCAAGTGCCCAACGAATGAGTCACACAGAAACGTGTGATGTCACAATGCTGATCAGAATCTGCAGCTAGGAAAATAAGCCCTCATTAGCAGTAAATTGAAAATACCGTGTCATTTTAATTAGTGGAATTAACAGGAATGCAAACACATGCCTATCCATTATTATAGCAGTGATCTGGAGGACTAAAATCACTTGAAAAAAAAACCAAAACCATGACCTGCTAAGTAGCCTATGAAATACAATGTATTCTTGTGCTGTGTATTTTTCAGAACAATTTTAGCTGCATTCATTTTTATCATTTGATTTAACAAAACAAGGATTCTTTGCTTGGATTCATAAAGTCATTAGTTATATCCTCCTAGCATCTCCTTTCAGAAAATCAATGTGCTAAAACTTTTCCCTAAATATTCTCTGGCAGTAAAATTGGATGTTTAGTAAAACAATCTGTAACCACTGATAAAGAACACCTTGTACTGAGAACAGTATTTTCATTTACCATAGTGCATTGACCAAATGTTGTCCTCATTCTAGCTGGGTAATTGTTGGAGTCTCATATTTTGAACACCTAAGCCATGCCAACACACACTGACACTGCAAAGACCCCAGAAATGGGAGGCACTTCAGGTTAAAACATTTACCCCTGCATTTAGCAAAAAATTCCTCATTTCATGGTGACTTGCTGATTTAAATCCTCAAGTTACAAAAATGTGGCAAATAAACATTTAAATGTTAGAGTCCATAGTTTTACTTTACCTGGAACTATTCCATAGATCTCTTCTGCTATCCTGGCAGCTTCTTTTCTGTTGCCTTTAACAATATAGAAATGGGTCAGCAAAGCCAAGGAAATTTTAATTAAAAGCTTGAAGCAAAACAAAGCAAAAATTGCAAAATAAATGTTAGTGAAAGAATGGAGTACAGAACTGCCCTCCATTTTGGTTTGCTCTTTGAATAGTTTCTCAGGTTGGCTAAGTTGCACTGGGCTATTCTTGGTATCATATGTCATCTATTTTAAACACTTCAGGACCTGCTGTTCCTCAGTTACCAAAAATACATCCTGGTTCTATTTGGTATGAGGTGTTTGATGTTAAATAACAGTATCAAGGATATTTTGAACTTCTCTGCATACAGGAAACAAATGAGAAAATCCGTTCCAAACCTACATAAAGGAGAATAAATTTTCAGACAGATGCTGTCCATACCACCTGAAAGTCTCTACATCCACATTGGACTTATTCTTAGAGGTAGCAGTTCCATTTACAAAGACTACATAGATAAAGTTGCAGAAATTGTTCAGAGATGCTGCAAAAAGAATACTTTTATTTCTTTTCCATCGTGAGAACAGGCCTTGCTGGTACTCAGATACAGAACAAAGGCAAACATATCAAAGAAAAGCATTACCATGAAAGAATTTGAAGTAAATTAATGTGGCCAAAGCCAGGGCTAGGAAGTCAAAATTATTCTAGAAGGAGAAAAATGCATTGAAATTGCACAAAAAGAAACACATAACATATAATTTTTTGTCCATTACTCAGGGATAAAGAATGATGTCCATTGATATCTCTTGCAACAGCATTGTCTGTTTTGGAAATATTTTTACATTATCCACCATTGATTCAAAGGTGTAATATTTTAAATTGATCAAGATGCACCCATTCTTTAACTGCCCTTTTTTTCTTTTTGAAGGCACATGGCTTCCACAGAGAACAAAGGGTTTTTTCTGCATGTATTTATTTGAATCTATGTAGAACACCCCATCTCTTTTTATTTTAAACTTTTATTTATTCCTGTTATCCTATATGTACCACAGGAGGAGGATTTAATTCTTTCTTGATTCCCCTCTTTGCCCAGATTCTCTTAGCCTTCAATTCCAACATCTGTCAAGGAAAAGAGCAGGATAATTCCTCTCTTAGAGATCCCAATGAGATGGTGGAAATGCACACAGAAATTATACAGCAAATTATTTCTCTGGGCATTTTAGATGTAATTTCTTTTGGTTTATAGCAATACAGATGGTTTAGTACCTTGCTATCTTCAGTGCTCAGCCCTCCCAGGTGCCCTAAAATGCTATATAAAATATGTGCAGAGATAAAACACCCCAAGCAATTTTCTCAAGTCAAACAATTTTTCTAAAATTCTGAATTAAACCAAGTTATTACATTCTTATATAACTTCTTACAAATTATTACATCTACCTTTCCTTACACAGTAATATTAAACACCCATAGAAGCTATAATACTTATAATCCAAAAGAGGAAAATTTCTTCTTTTTAATCAATTTAATACAGTTTGCCACAGACAGCTGAAGATATGGATTACAGAACAAGAGAAGTTCAGTCAAAGAATCACAGAAAAACATATTGGTTTATTGGCAGTTAATTCTGCTCAGCTGAGAAACAGAGGAGAAATTAACAAAAAAAGGTGGACTAAAGAACAGAATGGTCAGCCCAGAAAAATGTGAGAACAAGGAAACATTCCTCCTGGAGCCAGAGGAATAGTAAAAGCTGTAAAGAACAAAAATGTTGGATGCAGAGAAAAAGGACACATAAAAATATTAAGACCATAACAAAGTAAAGTCAGCCTGAATAACGGAGAAATATTTCTTGTGTAGGATTTACAAAAGTTAGTTCTCAACACGAGACAAGCAAGAGCACCTTTTAACACAAAAATGAGAAAACTGGGCTTTTGGTTGCAAAGGAAATTAATTGATTTCTTTCTCAATCAGCCTAATAGGTGGTATGTAGAATTGTACACGTCCATAAAACTGAGAGAAATACAAGAAACTGAAAACCAGGTGGTTGCCACTGAAATTCCTTTATCCCTAATGGAATAAGACCAAAGAGCTCTCCAAGTGCTCTAGAAAACCACAGGAAAGTTTGACTGCTTTGAGGCAGTTGCTGGAACACGACTCTCCCAGAAGGACTAACTCTATTTGTGTAGCAGCAAAATCACCCTCCTGGCTTCGGTACAAGACAAATAAAGATTTTCAGTTAAATTATTCAGTGAGTCATTTGAGAAAAACTTGTGTAATCTCCTAATCTGCTCTTAGTTACAAGAGCACTAGGAAAATTAATTCAGTGGATGTAAAAGAAAATTGTCGTTGAGAAGACAGCTGAACAGCATGGTGGAAAGTATAAACACTGGTGAGGGTGGTAGTCAGGCAAACAACAGCAAGATCGGGTGTGATCACGCAGAAATCTCTGGCATTTTTGAAACTAGAGAGATGAGCAACATGGTGTAGGCGTGAGAACAGGCAGATCACAAGAGCAATGACAGTGCAGACACAGGATTGCCATCGTTCCTCCCTTGCTCTTTTGAGCATCATTGCTGTGAGCTGAACAAGGTGCAGTATGCAACTCCATTGATAGACTTGAGTGAACAAGTCAGCCTCCTGTAGAAAAAACACAACTCACTGAGAACTGCTGCAAGATGCCCTAAGTACTCCAAGAGTCACTCTGCCTTAACTCTAGAATAACTACTAAATTGTTAAATCAAAGTATCCAAAAGGTAAATAGAAGTAGTTAGCTAGATCCTCCAAAAAACTCAAAAAGTAATGTTTATATATGCTAGTTTACACACATGCAAGAAATAAGCAGGAAAAAAGGGCAATCCAGCTTAGAAAACAACTCATTTTCAGTAAGGTTCACCTTAACTTTATCCAGCTTCTAGGGAGAAATACCAGATGTGACCTGAAGAATTTGGCAAGGATGAGGAAAAGGGATGAGGAATGCTTATCTGGAAGAACTTCAAAGAGGTATTGGTCTATTCTTATGCTACACACACTTCGAATTACAGCAATGTACTTCTAATGTATGTAGTTGGGATTAGAGTATCCCATGTATTCAGTCAAAGTAAGGCAACTGGGGGAAAAAAAGGAGTCAGAAATACTCAAACAGAAGAGATGAGAACAAAGATGCCCATACAGAGCCTGGCTAGTTCTTTTCTATCAGTTTGATCTAATAAATGACACTACTTCCCACACAAGCCTTGCCTTATTTGCATCCTTAGGTCAGCACACTTACAACACTCCTTTTAAAAAGAGATGTGGAGAGTGACTCACTGGCTGCTCTCACGCCAGTGTGGGATTCATCTCACCTATCTGCCACCCATCACGCTGGGTAGGGTCTGGTTCTTGAAACTCCTGCTGCTGCCTGGGCAGGAAGACAGCAAATTCCAGCAGCAGCCAGTGCCTGTGTTCCCAGGGAATGCACCAGTCCCTCTGCTTAGACAAGCAGCTTGAAGAACCAGCATGGACAAGACCACCAGCCATGCACAGTTCAAGCTCAATGAATCCTGCACAAGTAGCATCTCTGGAGTTGTGACAGTGTTGAAGCATGCCAGGATCTGAAAGCAACCTAATCTGCCTGCTAGCTTTACAAGAAAAATGTATCATTTTGGTAAATTAATAAATTCAGACACATAGCCACATCCTGTCATTAGTTTTATTCCCTTAAAAAACATCCACCTTTTATCTCTGTCAATGTTCAAGTCATTAGGGAAAACTGTGGAAGTCGACATTATACAAATGTCATGATGCACAGCAAATATCATGAGACTAGTTTAATGACAGCAAGTAGACACCAAAAATATTGAAATACTTTTAATTTAAAAAATCAAAATATTAAACCATTTTGAAATTATTGTATCTATTTACATAAAGTCTGTATTTTACTGAAGCAGAAAGCACCAGAAAGACTTTTACAATTAATTTTTAAAAGCTCAAGCATATATGAAAAAAGGACTAGTAAAGAGAAATTAATATAAAAAAGGGAAAAAATATAAACAGATGCAGAAGAAATTGACCACAAAACAAGCAAATTACAGTAGTTGCCTTCTTACAGATACATCCACACCCACTAAAACACAGTCTGAAAGACTAATCTTGTAGCCACACTTTACATGATGCTTGTATGGATTAAACTACAATTTTCACTACCTTAATTCACAGTGTCTGCACATAATGTATTGGAAACAACATTTCTCCTTGTGCCTGGGGATGGAATTTCATTGCAGTTTGGGAGGGGGACATTCTATACAGGTCTTCCTGCTCCTCCTCTTGCACTGCTCTGTGCAAGACATTGCTTAATGAGTGTTATTCTCCCTTTCCTAACATTTCCCTGGTATTTCACAACTATCAAATGTTACCTGCAAGCACAATTAAAATTAAAATTTTAATTTTTTTAACAAGTTATTTTATTAATTTCTAACCACACTCATTATCTCAGTATTTTTTTTAGTATTCTGCTTATTTTATTTAACCTTTTTCACGCTGCCCACTGGTATTTTGTAAAACTGTAAATGTTTCTGTGGCATTTACTCCACTGTAAAAGGCCAGTGAGCAAATCATTCCCACACTTCTGCAGAATACAAGTGGTGTTATCTGAGAAACCAGTTATGGGTTAAGTTTGTATAGCAGCTTGTACAGAAAGATGATTATTAAAAAACATTCTCCAACAACCAGTGGTGAAAAGCAGCATTATGCTTTGTAGTTTTGTATTTTCTAATTATATGCTCCCACATATTAATGAAATGTAACCATTCTTTATGGAAAGGTAAATAAACCTCTAGATAATCTTTACATTGGTCTTGTAAACAAGACTATAACAAGGTTTTATTATGTTATTCATAAGTACACAATGTTCCACAAAAGAAATCTTCTTTTAAATAGATACATGCAATCCTTGTGATTGGTTTCTTGCAACATCTGCAAACACAAAACAGAACTAAAAGAGAACAAACAAAATATTACTAAAATGACACACACACACATATATATATAACATTTCCCTGGAGTGGCAATCAGTATTTTCAAAAGGTTGTTAAAAATTTGAATGCTTGAACAACATAAAAAAAAAAGAATAACTTAGAAAAGTAGAATATTAGCTTAATTTTACCCATTTATCGTTAAATCTTGTGGCACATTTTAGATGACTTCCACTTTCAATGCAGTTTGAAAAACTCAAATTGTAATATTACACGCTGTATGTTACGTATCAAAGGCTAAAAATTCTAGTAAAAGAAAATAGACTTTATATATGGCAGTTATTTACATTATCTTTGTGTTTCATGAAAATATGTTCAATGAAATTATAAAATGCTTGTGTAATTACATCTCTACCAAAACAACATGAATTTGGCAGAAGTAGTGTGTTAAATACTACCCTTCAAGGGTTTGGAAACAGTGTTTTCATATTGCACAGTTTTAATATTAATACAGTGTCCAACAGCACACAATACTCCAGAGTCATAAAATAGGAAGCTGATCATCTTTAGTGATGCTTGAAAAAGAAACTAACCCAGTGCATCAGACAAGGGGCAATTTTAGAGGTGGTTGACACAAATGAAGTAAACTCCTCTTCTCACACACACTGGCACAGTGCTGTGCTGCCTCCTGCCCCACGTACACATCACTCAGACTCCTCACAGCTGCTCCTTCTCTCTGCCTCTCCATGAAAAGCACAGCCATTGTTATTTCCACTTAAGGGACACCTTCCCAAGATCTCACGTGCAGCACCTGCCAGCCAGTGTCTCTGATGTGGGTGAGGTGACACCACTCACCCTGAACGCTGTCCCTCCCAGAGATGGACTGAAATGCCACTTTGGTCATAAGTAAGGAGAAAGAAGCAGGGAGAAAGGGATGGGTGGGTGGGAGGTGGGAGAGAGCAGGTAAGCACGAGTGTGCTTGTTAAGCCCTTCAGAGTTTTTGCTCTCTCACATGTGTTACTTCACACTTTGGCACAGACTGCTGGAAGTTTTCAGGCCTGAGATGTTTCTAAAGGCTGTATTATCTCTAAATAATACTATTTCTTCCCCTATGTACCGAAAAACAAAAACAAAACCCAAAACCACTATAAGCTTTAGATCATTTTCACACATGTATGAGAACAGGACAAATTTAGCACCTCTGAAAATATCAGAAAATCATTATGGAATGTTGATTTAGCAACAGGATGTGCAAATCTGACTAGGGAAGAATTTCAAAATAATAATGCTACCCAGGCAAAACACTGTCACTGGGACACAACTGCTGGAACCAAGTCTCTGAAATTTACATGGTAATGGACTTTATGACTAATTTCAAGTGCCATTTTCATCTTAGGAGAAAAAAGGTGTATTTTGTTGAGCTTTTAATTATTTTGAAAGAGGTCTTAAAATAAAAATCACAGTAAATATCAGGGATTAGCAGGAACTACAGTAAGCTAAGAATTGTTGTGTTTTGTTTTCCCAAACACCTAAGTCCCTTTCTGCAATGTTCAAGTTATCAAGAAAAATCTTGTATTTTTGTTTCCAAGGCTTCTGATATATATAAAAACACGTTCTCCTCCCAGCTTTCAGTGCAAAAGAGATGCCCATAAATTTGCTTGAATCCAAAACTGAACTAAGAACATCATCCTAAATTGAGGTAGCACATTGAACTAAGTTTCTTTCCAAGAACTTCAGAAAGAAACTAAGGAGTTGTAAGAGTAATGTCTCTGTCAGCAAGCATTAAAACTTTTAGTGACCAACACATTCTTCCCTGTCCACTTGAGCAATCTTGGAATTTGGAAGTTCTTCTTTAACTCTTCTTTTTTTCCCAAAAAAATACTGTTTAGTCCATGCACCCTTAGGTCCTGTAGCATCTATTGCAACATCAATAATGGAATCTGGAGTCATCCACCTCAGAAACACCAAGAGGAGGCAGTTCAGAACAGCAAAAAAAGCAAAAATACACCCAGTCACTGGGCCACAGTGAGTCATTAGTCTGTCAAGTCGCTCCTTCATTGGTAAAACCACTTCATCTGCAACTCTGTCGTACACCTAAACAGAGAGGAGACAGAAAGTAACATCTTAAAAATGCATTGATTCTACCTCAAAAGTCAGGCAGTACTTTGTCATCACTGCACAACATAAATGATCTAGTCTTAGCTACCAGATGGGGCAAATATTACCCCCCAAAAGGCTTTGCAGATTCCAAGTGCCGATTTATGAGTCTTGTTCTACATATTTCATTCATTTATTTAAGGAGAAATATGACACATTCTCTTCTTTTACACACTTCAAAAGTACTTCATTAACTAGGAAGGCTGCATAATTTGTCTCTCATGTAATATTATACAGAAAGGGTTGGGGGTTTTAATGGATTGAATGGGTTCTAATCTCACATTCACATCAGTCCCAGGAAGAGCTTGAACATGCAATTATGAGATTTTAAACATAAAGATGGATGAACTCATAGGTGAGTTTGGCACTATTCCAAATCTCCTTTTGTTTGAAGAAACAGTAGTTCAATTACTGCACAAAGCAAATACATGCTACTAGTGACTTATACATGTCAACCACAGCCAACTACAAACCACTCCAAAAAGGCTTGAAGGACACAGTTGTTTCCTTAAGAATGTTACAGACTCCATTCTACAGGTAACTTAATTTCATAACAAACAACTGTCTTCTGTACAATTTAAGATCTATGCATACTTCTATCAATTCTATGAGTATTTTCCTTCATGAAGTATTGGTGGGTTTTTTTAAGAAAAGGCAATGTAAAGCAAACTCAAATCAAGGCTAACGTCTGTAAAAACTTTGCATTTCAAATGTTGCCTGCACAAGAAAAGGCAATGTAAAGCAAACTCAAATCTAACGTCTGTAAAAACTTTGCAATTCAAATGTTGCCTGCAGTTACAAAATCATAAAATGAATGATACTGATAGCATTTGAAAATAAAATAAACTGGTGGTACATGGCACTTTGAGGAGGCTTATGAGAGATATACAGTTTAGTGCAGTACAATCTAAGTAAGAGACATGGGGTTCAGCTACTCTCTCCTTCCTAAAACACAGGAGCTGAAGTCCAAAGTGACACAGCTCCACAGGTGTTTGTAACATTACTTCAGCCAACATTCTTCACTGAAGGCAGTTTTTCTACTGAAGTGCAGCTCTAGTTCTGAAATATAATTTCCAAACTGTGAAAATAACTTTTCATTACAAGCACAGCTTATGTAAACTCAGCTGTGTTCTGCCTTCCAGCACTGAACTATCTCTCATAATTTTAAACTACTTGTTAGCACATGGCAAAGCTTTGTCATGCACTGTTCTTACCCTGTCATACACCTTATGCAGCACATTTTCCAGCTATGCCAGAAAAGTTACTTCATGTCAAGACTTGAACAAGTAAAGAGTAGAAATCTAGCTAATGATCTAGGCTTTTCTTCAAAATATTTACCAGCAATTATGGCATTTTAGAAAATACAAACAGAAAAATCCACCTATCCATTTAGGGAAAAAAAAAAAAGAGTTTTCTGGACCTTTTAAAACCATGTATGTTTGACAGGAAACATGCTGAACAATTACACTGGAATATTACACGGTGAATATGCATAGTAATATTTCAAAGCAAGTATTGTTTCAGAAATTTACTTTCAGAGAATTTAAAAGAAGGGATTATACATACTTTCTCAGTTCTCTCTGCTACATTCCTCCACGTATAAAATGTCTTTACTTCATTATGAACAGTTTCTGGAGATGGCAGAGTTCCTGATCTGAGCTGGGCAATTGCTTTTTCTAGTCCATCACACAAAGATTTCACAGAGGGCTCACACAAAATGATGAGATTTTCTGGAAGTACCTCTGGAATCCCACCAACTCTTGTACTCACCACCTTTGAAACAAACAAAAGAAATGTCACACGTGCAACATAAAAAATGAAACTTTGTGATGGCAATGCTATTACATTGTTTAGATGCAGCTATTTAAAAGAATAGGAAAATATCATAGTTTGGGAACTCTACATATATGTGAACTAAAGGTGTAAATCCCAGAGAAGATGAAGCATAGCAGATTACCTTCAACATTGTCCAGAATGAGTCTTTGGTGCCATGATAAAACAGAAGACTAATCAGACAGGTCTAATGAGAGGCTATGAGACACCTTTCCTGAAGGTGTGTGCCACAGTACACAACTAAACCTGTGTAACCAGATTTTGGACATTTCTTCCAAAGTATCTCAAAAAAAACCTGTTACCTCTATTTGCAGAGGATAATTTTACCACATACTTAAAATTTCAGTTTCCTAGGTTACTGAACACTTGCAAAAATTTATGTATATTAATTTAAATCATTATTTTTAAAGGGAAATCAGAAATTACTAAGACCCACATTGTGCAATCATCTCTAAACACTGGGCAATAAGAAACTGCAGAACTTCCTCACCTCTAGAGAAGAGATGGCAAGAGAGTAACTACAACTAGGTAGTAACTGCTGTCAAAGGATACTGAAGTAAAGAAAAAACTGAGGTCACTCACATTTTCTATACTTACTGTAAATTAAGTACTCTTATCAGTCTGTCTTTTTAATAAGGTTTCTTTATGATTTATTGTGAAACTCTGATTATTTATAGCTATTGACTCAACTTCTTTTTGAGTTGTCAATCTGAGTTGTAAATTAGTTAGGGCTTTTACTGTTCTCTCTCCAACTTATCTTGAATCCCTCCATAGTAAGGCAATTTTTCTGCAGATCCTTTTGAAGTAAACCTTTGTGAACATCAACTACCCCAAAACTCTGTAAAGGAGTACATACAAAATAGTATTTTAGCTAGTTCAGAGGACTGAGAGCAGATCTACATGTTATTCCAAATTCTACACAAAACTCTTCTCAGAGTTAACCCTTCTGTCTCAGCTTCCAGGTGATCTGTAAATGGGCATAACATTTGCTTACCTCTGTCAAGACAGAGCCTCAGATGAAATCAATGTGATAAGTACATATTATTTTATTGTGAAATTTGTTTAAAATGGATACATGATTTCTAGATACTGAGATTTTTTTTACCTGTAAACCACAGCTTGCTGCTTCCACAATAGCCATACAGAAGGCCTCAGTGAGGGAAGTGTTGAGAAAAATGTGTCCCTGGACCAGGACATTTCTGACATCCTGGTGTTCTAAGCCTCCTAGAAGACGCACCCTGCATACAAGAGGGAAAAAAATAAAAATAAAAACAACCCAGAGATAAACACCAGATTTGGACCATAATAATGCCACACATTCTGAAAAAGGTACCAGTGGTTCACACTAATCTAGTGAGAGAACAAGGATGGGCACCTCGGTTTAGTTTCCTCTAAATTTTTCCAGCAATGGAAAAACAGAAGATCCTGCTTTTTTTATTATCACACTGAAAGAAACTTCTGAAAATAAAGTTGGTAGGAGAATTTGCTGTTTTAATGACATTTGCCTCCAGAACATTGCTACTGAGCCTTCTAGTTCTGCAAGAAAAAATGGCTTCCTTCAGTTAAAAATTAAGATTTGTCAAATGCATTATCTGAATTTTCAGTGTGAGGTCTGACCAATCTCAGTCTGACAAGCGAAAAAGTTTTTAAGATACAATGATCAGGACCTATCATCTTGAAGAGATATTGGAAAACAATAAAGGGTAAAATGAGGATGATAATGACAATTTTAATTGGGTAAGTCACTGACTAAAACACAAAACAGGCAACAAAAAATATAGAAAATAAAACAAACAGAATATGAAGCTGTTCTTCATCAAGAAAACCCAACAGAAATACATAAATGCATCTGTATCATGGCAACATTCTGGTAACAAGGTAGCACCAGGGAACATACTTGTAGTACCACAAGAACACATAGGAGACAAGCACTATGCTGAAGAGTTTCATACTGAAATAATAAATTCCTGGCAGTCATCATGACATGCAATGGCACAAATGAGCTGTTAACACCTGATGCCACATGAGATCCAAGCACCATGGATGCAGAGAGGGGCATGATAAATCTGTATCTAAGTCACCTTTCTGTGACTTGAGTGAAGGCTCATTCAGGGCCTACTCACAGAAACATGAATGAACTTGCTGGACCATAGTCCAGCTCAAAGTCTTCAGTGTCTGGTTTATCTGCCTTGCCTTTAGGCCTCCTCAGGCTTTGGGGTTTATCTGGGGGAGGGAGGCGGGCAGGTCCCCAGCCTGAAGGGTCATGGACACACAGAGAACAAACCTGTCATGCAGCTGGTATCTCTCCCGGACTTCTTCCAGTATGATCCGTTTTGGTCCTTCTCCTCCAACTAAGAAATGTATCTCCGGATATTTCTGACAGAGCTCAGGAATTATACCACTAAGCAAATCAATACCTAAGAGTAGAAAATTTAGGGCAAGCTGTTATTGTATTTGATTTCAGAACTTCTCATGATGTAGCCCACATCTACAACTATATTCAGGAGCAGAAGAACTGAAAAAAAAGTCTCCTGAAGATAGCTACAACTACTGTACACAAAAATATGAGAAAAAAAACACAACTTGGAACCTCATAGAAGGAAAAAAATGGAAAAAAAATCACTTAAGCTGCTGTCACTGGATTAAATAAAAAACAATTAAAACATTTCTAACAGAATATATAGATTAGGCTCTAATTCTTATGTCCAATATGCACCAAACCTTCAATTTTACAAAGTGCAGGTTTTGGTCTCTTCAGTATTACTAAGGAAACACACCTGTGAACCCACCATGTACAAAAAACAAAAGTACATTTCTTCTTGAGCTCACAAACACAAAAGCTCAGAACAGCCACCTCACCATTCCCCCTGTGAACCCACCATGTACAAAAAACAAAAGTACATTTCTTCTTCTTGAGCTCACAAACACAAAAGCTGGGAACAGCCACCTCACCACTCCCACTGAAAATTCCATCCATTCCACAGATAAAACTGAAGTGGTACCTGACCAAGACCTCTCCAAAGAAAGAAAACCAAAACAAGCCTACATCTGATCCCCCATTACCTTTTCTGTAAACAAGTCTGCTGACAACAACAATCGTTATTGTGCTGTCATCCCTCCTCGAGGGGTCTGGAGTGAAGTCGGTGGGATCCACAGCGTTGGGGATGACCGAGACTATCCGTGGGTCCAGGGCTGCTCGCAACACCGTGTTCTCCTTGCTGGTGTAGGAGACGCAGATGATGTGGTTGGTGTCGCACAGGGACACCGTCAGCAGCTTGTTGGTCAGCACCGAGCTGACATCGGCGAAGCCGAAGAGGGAGTGGTCGGTGAACACGGTGCGCAGCCCCATGCTCTTGGCGTGGAACAGGGCGTCGTGCGCCATGGCCGAGAAGGAGCTGTGGGCGTGCACCACGGTCACCCGCTCCCGCACGAAGATGTACCTGAGCAAGGGCAGGCTGTGGAACAGCGTCGTGGCCGTGGACTGGTTGTACATCACCTTCAGGGGCAGGTAGTAGACTTTGAGCCCGCAGGTGAGGTAGCGGACGCCCTTGCGGTGGCCGTAAGCGTGGGTGACCACCAGCACCTTGTGGCCGCGCTCGATGAGGCACTGTGACAGCTGGTACACGTGGCTCTCCACGCCCCCCATGTTGGGGTAGAAGAAGTCCGACACCATGCATACGCTGTGCGCCGCTGTGCCCTCCATCCCGGGCCCGCTCCTGCAGGGGGAAGGAACCACAAGGCGCCATCACTCGCCGGCTGCCGCCCGCCACGACCCCCGGCCCCCTCAGCGTCGGCGGCGCCGCCGGGCCCGCCACGCGTCCCGGCAGGCCGCACGAAGGGA